CCTCTGAATAACCTCTTAAGGCCTAGACCCTGTCGAAATGCCCTCTCCTAATATTTGCTCATAGACCATACCATGGCACAGCCAATCTACTTCGCGCACTTTCTCCAGCTCTTCAGTCAACTTGCCAACCTCGTTAACAAACTCGGGCATTCCTGCACCGGCCAAGCACTGGCTGGCTGTCGTCGTGGTTCGAATCCTCTCGGCCGCACTTGAAGCACTAAGGCGAGAGAGAATATGGGCGCGCAAACGGGAAAGAATGAGCCGCGCAACAGGGTCTGTGAAGCTGGCCGCACCAACTTCACCTCTATCGGAGTTCACCGGGTTTTGTGCCACCGCTATCTCTCGTACGGGCGCGTCCGTATGAATCTCAACCGTCGTCTGTGTTGCCGCAGATGGAGAAACAGCAGCGCACGCCTTGGCGACCGGCGCCAGTACCCGCCGGATGGTCGCCGCAAGTTGAGCGCTGGCATTAGAAGGCATTGGGTGTGTTGACTCCAGAATCGACTTTACTCGATTAGGTTCAATATCACCAAAATGCAGAGACATAATACGATCCGCTTCAGCCTTCCATTGTGATCGCACGTCACGCTTGAGTAAATTCTTAGCTGCCAGTAAAATAGACGCAGTCGCCACAATTTTGAATGCTTGCGCGTGCAGTCTCTCTAGTCGTTGGCGGTCCAGCTCTAAGGTCTCAGGAACTAGGTCATCACACACGGGTGCATTGCTCAGAACAAGATCCACGAGACCTTGAGCATAAATCTTCGAGGGAGGCGGCTGAGGTTCCCCGTTGATATTCTCCGGATCACGCTTCCGGATCTCATCTACAATGATTTTGTGATGTGTTCGCCAGAAGCGCCTTGCTTTCCTCAGGCTCAAGGATCCGTCACGAAGGCCCTTCTCGAAGGTTCTCTGCTCATACCCAGGCGCCTCTTGGATAAGTTGGGGGGCAGCAAGTTGGATCATAAAGTTCGTATGGTCGAGGGACAGCAAGTCGATTATCCCCATCAGCCTCGCCAGACGATCAATCGCATCTCCTGAAGTATCTTCCGTAAAAGCCCTGACTATAGGATCCCGGTACGGAGCACAAAGCTTCGGTAGGATGGTGTTCATGAAGTTGAAGAAGCTAGCGTAGGAGAAAGCACCAACATTACATTGATTCTCAACCAGCTTTGGGTCTAGCACTTCGCTAATCAGCACATGAAGCGAGTTACCCGGGCGGAGCGAACGTAGTAATCGATCCTGAATTACTGTGGCCATAGCTACTGTCCAGTTCGTACCTAGCCCAGCGTCCACATCTTTGCGCATCATATCACACATGTGATTCATAATTTGTTTACGTGGCTCCGTATACTGTGTCTCTTCAATCTTGAATTCCTTGTTGATGAGAAGTTCATGCACTAACGCACGGTTTTCTGGGAGTGCAGTCAAGATTCTTGTGAAGCGTTCATGCGGGGAGATCCGCTGCCTTTCCAACTCCCGCAAAACAGTACCCTCCACATTGTTAAAAGTGTCGCTAATAGGAGACGCAACACTCTCCGTGAGCGTTTCGGTCGATGAAGGCGTGACCTCTGCCGACCGTGGAATGGCCTGCCTGGAGGCAGTACGTTTCGTCTCGCGCTTAGCCTTCTTCAAAGCATCTCGCACCATCTGCATTGCTCTTTCCGAGCCGGCTAGGCGCTTCAGCCGGGCGAGAAGCAGGATCTGATTTTGCCTGATGCCCTGACGATAATCATCTGCCACACCACCAGCTCGATCATTCTTGACCGTTTGCCAGATTAGCTCCAGCTCAACAAATTGAGCCAGCATGATTTCGATCAGAACGCTAGAGTCATGAGTCTTCCAAGCATGGAAGGCAGAAAAGAAGACATTGTAAGCCTCACACACTGTCTGAAGCTCTGTAGAATTGGCCGGCGTCAAGCGGCAGCCAGATAAAAGCAGTGGCATGGCTTGCTCAAACGCTAGAATGAGTTCACGAGCCTTCGCAATCAAATCCTGCTCCTGTTCACCGTTGCTGCTCAACACTTCAGCGGGATGAGTTACGATTAAATAACTGCTGAGAAACGTGCGCACAGCGCCCCTTCCGCCCATTGTACCACTTTCCATATCTTGTAGTCCACAAAGTCGAAGCACACGAGCTGTTACGGTCAGGACTTTATTCTCCGAAAGCAGGGCTCCAACATCCTCAAAATCCATGTGCTGAATGCGGTTGGTTGTCAAATCTAGCGTTCGAAACTCCTGTATAATCCTCCTGGTATGATAGGTTCTCCATATTCGCTGGATAATCCTCGCGGCTGCATCATGCGTAAGTGAGCTGCTAACCACCTTGGCCATCTTTTTCTCTTCGCTAGTAGGTAAGCTGCTTGTGCGGTGGCGTCGATGATTTTGCTGATAGAGTACACGCCGCTTCTCGGCCTCTGCAAACTTCTCTGCCATTTCCAAGCGAAGCCTGGCGTGCTCTGCAGCTTTCCTCTCCCGGTTATCTTCAGCCTTCTTCTTCGCGCGACGAACTTCTTCTTCACACTTGGCGGTGATCTCCGCCAATAGTCGCTCCCGAGCCTGCTGAGCAGCCAGGGCTCTCTCTTCCCTTTGCAAGCTCCTGGATGCAGCTTTACTAAGGGCAGCGCGAAGCCTTACCTTCTCTGCATGCAGAGCACGGTCTGCGAGCCTCGCTTTCCGGCTCTCAAGAATGGAAGTTCGCCGGAGATGTTGCGCGATATTATCGGTGGGAGATATGCCATGAGATGAAGCGCTCGAGTGGTGTGAGTGTAAAGATGAGATCGAACTTCGACGAGAGGAGGCAGCAGAGGAGCGTCGAAGCACATTCGGCTTTCGAGAGAAGCGGGCGGCGAGGCGGGTGGGTAAGTTTAGTGGCGGTGCTTGCTCCCCTGGCAGCATTTCTATGTTTGCTTCCTTCACAGAATCCGCAGTACCTGCAGCACCCGGGAGCTGAACCTCAATATCTGAGTTGCGGCGGATCATGATCTTCGAGAAAAACGAGGCTATGCTGCTCGCATCCAAGGCAACGGGCGGTTGTCGGTAGCAGGGACCAGAATATATAGAAGAGTGACGTAAAGTATAAGCCTTGATCGACAGAAACGGATACTACTCTCTCAAGGTGGCACCTAAAAAAGGAACTCAGGGCGAGTTTCGTGAACCTAGGTCTGCAGAGAGATGTATCTCGTTTCAGAAGGGGGCGTGAAGGTCAAAGAGCTGGGGGTGGAAGTGACTGGAACGTACTTCGTGGTAGACGATGGTGAGGGTTCACAAAATATGTAGAAGAGAGATAGAGAGAGGGAGGTGAAGGCACCCATTCATTCACATCGCAGAAACAAAGTTGTTATCTAATCTCATTCTGAAGAAGGCCATCGAAGAATGCTGCCTGAGTAATGCAGGCCGCAAGCAGGTGGTTGGCTTAGGTAAGCATTGGTAGCTGTCGACTACAGTCAGACGAATGACGCTACTAGCACATGGTCAGAGTGGAAGGCGATAGATTTCATGTTTCTTCTGGCCAAAAAGACATTGACCAGCGAATGAGCGACTCAAGCATTGTCGAATACCCATTGCCTGAGAATGCTGCAGCTCCAGAGGCTAACCAATGATAGTTATATGTAAGATGTTCGAGGTAATTTGTACTAGTTAGGTAGTCGTTGATTCCTACTGTGTATGGTTGGTTAGTTAAAAGTTAGTCACCTATGTATTGTTAGTCAACTAGGTACTCCGTATAACTATTGAACTACAGTGGGGGGTAATTACTACGTAGGTACTAGTACCTACGTAGTACCTACTAGTTAGTACTACCTACTCCGTAGGTAGACACCGTTTATAGATTAGCGTTAATTTGGTAGACCGCCTACCACTTCTACTATAGTAAGCGGGACGGAGGCACACACACGAATCACATGTATATTTTGGACCTCAGGTCGACGTAGTACCTAGGATGTCAACGCTAAACCCTAAATGGGTGTTCCAAGTGGATTAGCCTTGGAAATTGAATTCCCTCCCACTGTATGTAACTTAGTTCAAACTAACACACGCAGAGATTAAACAAGTTGGTACTGTCTGCTACTCTCTAGTATGTAATAGTATACAAACAAGAAGCGCTGTTCTTATTGATATATATATAGGTGTATATAAATATTTCCAGTGCTGAAGTTGTATGGTTTCAGTGATAGGCACAACAACGTCTTTATTCAAGCCCTAGTCGCATATATGATCATTTTCAACCCACATCTATACACAATCTCTCAGACATGCTAGTTCCTGTCCATGTAGCGTTACCGTAGATTTTTTGGTAAATTTGTGAATGTCCCATCATAAGCTCATACGAGTCCAACGCTGTTCTCCCGGCTGATAAAGGGAGTTTTCAAGCACCAAAAATTGTTTGTGCAGACAAGCTCCAGGACACTTTACAGAACTGCTATACATGTTCATCGACACTAACGTGAGGAAGGGAGAAAAAGAAAGAAGCACTACTCTACCGTCATACAATTCAATCTACCACTAAAAGCGAATGGGGTAGTAATGGTGTGTGAGAGAAGACTGGATATTTTCATCGTCGTCACCTATGACCAAAGATATCTATCTTCTCATCATCATCATCATCTTCCTCTTCATTGTTTTCCTCTGAGTTGCTGCACCATGACCGCTCATCATCATCCTCTTCGTCGTTGGCTTCTGAGGTTCCATCTACCGATTCAGTCCCTCGACTAAGAAATCCATACCTGTATTTGAATTTCGCACCCCAAAAGCGGATTTCCCCGTTACTCTCATTTTCATTCTCCTGGGGAGCTTGGCCATTAGAAAATGACGTTGACTTTCGTCTCTCAGACCCACGATCGGGGGGTATGCCGAAATAGTTACTGATCACTGGGGAAACAGCACGGCCACGACTGATGCTGTAGGAGAACCGCCCACTTGGCTCAGTTGATACCGGGGCGTTGGGTGGTGCGTTTGAGTATAGATCTTGGTCAGAGTTGGTGTCAAGTCTCGACGTTGTTAATACTGGGTGCGCAATATTGCCCGCACCTTGAGATGATGACCTTGTTCGGGATGCTATGAACTCTTCTCTCGCATAATCATCCTCCGCTGAAACCAGTACGTCTCCGTTCAATAATCGAATTTGGGCAGTGTTGTATGATTCGCACCTGGCTCGTTAGTCCGCGTCAAACTGGATCATCCTAATAAGCTTACATATCACACCTCAGTCCCAGCCAGTGGTACTTAACGACAGACTTTGCACCACAATCGTTACAGTAAATTAAAGCCTTTGTGTCATTGAATTCAGCCGGCATAGGTTGACTTTGGATCGTACGGTCCAGGTTTCGAAAGGTAGACTCCATATTCGTAATGGTCTTGCTGCATATCGGACAGCGATATGAACTCTTTGAATACTCGGAAAGACACTTTTGGTGTATGCTGTGACCACACCGCATGAAGACGACGGTCTCAGGAGAAGTAAACATGTAGTCCCCACAGATAGGGCAATCACACTGCGTCGAGCGCTCAATGCATCGATGCGTATTCTCGATCGAGATAGGCAGGCAGACGCAACAGGTCTAACATTGTTTATTAGCAATTGCCGATGAGCGTGATTTCCCTTTCATTTGGTCATTGTACCCTACCTTGCAGTGAAAAAAGTCTTTACCTAATCCTTGGCCGATTCGACAGATTCCGCAGTCATTGCAATGGTAGATACTTTTGCTAGTGTCGTTGTCCCAGAGCTTGCAGATGTTGCAATAGTACTGCGAAGATTGTTCCCCGCATTGCCTACAAAACTGCGTGGCAGGTTGAGCATGCCCACATAGCATGCATAGCATGTTTTCTGTTTTTGGCCGATCGAGGTGATGGTCTTCTGCCTCGTCGTGGCAAAACCGACAAGTATACCATTTCTTGCAGGCGTAGCATTGTAGTTTGACGTTCCTTTTATAATGTTGACAACCTAAACAAGCCTCTTCGAATTCCTCAGCATCCGTATCATCAAGATCTTCAGGAGGTAGTTCTAATTCATCTCTGGGGGAAAAAGTTGGTTTCAAATCTTCAGCTGTCAGACAATACTGATTTTCCTGATGTGCGATCGAAGCTGTGGCAGGTGGGGTTAGGCATTGTTGGTCAAATGATTGACTGCTCCAGCCGTAATCTGGACTGACAGGTCGATCCGGGCTTCGGAGCCTGGATAGGGACGGCGTCATTCTTATCGTCTGGTTACCCAGATTACTTCGAGAGGCATTATAGTTCTCTGTCATTAACTCGTGGATCATACGTGCTTGCTCCGTGCTACTGTAGTTTAAATCCCGGATGGCATGAATCTTTTTCCTCAAGGCACCCATTCCATCATCTTCTGGAAGCGAAGACTGTCCACCCGTATCAACTAGGTCAAGATGACTGTGCGATACTCGCTGGGCCTCCCGCAAGGTTGAGATTGTTTGTTGAGAGGCATCTTGTGTAGAGATAGCAACAGGGGTGGACTGCCGTGGTTCCGTTAAATCGATCCCATGCATGATAACCGCATCATTGTCTGAAACTCCAGAACCGTTGTTGTCGGTGATCTGCCTAGTACGGTGCGACAGAGGAGATATTTCAGTTTCGTGGTTCTGATCGTTAAAACCAGTCGGCCAAAGCGTAACGGACGAGGGGCTATCTTCGGAGGCAACATTCTCACCATAAGCCCCTATACTAGGATGTATTTCTTGCTCTGAATATGACATAACACCTCTCGCGATGTTATCGCAGTCGTCTTCACCCCTGTCTGAAGAGCACCGATCATAGATGCTCGAGGCTTGAGTAGCAGGCGGGCCGGATTCCTCAGTCTGCTGTGACAGACGACGGGCTTGCCGAACGACGGGTTCGATCAGCAAAGAAGTGATGAGCCCGCTCATGAAGGGCCGGAGGCAACATTTGATTGAGAATAAAACATAGGCTGTATTGATCTTTTAAAATGCAGAATTCCGGAATTTATGTTGCAATCCCAAGGAATAAATATCCTGCGAAAGTGCCGGAATAAGGAAGGCAAAGCATGTGACAATTAGAAGCCGGGATCGACCGCTGATTTGTTGCATGACTACGAGTCCCAGATCGTTCTCATAGCGGAACCCCGTAAATCTTAGCTTAATTCCCTGCTGTTCCAAATGAGAATTACCTTTTCTGTGATGGTTATGGCTTGGTAGTAGCCCTTAATACTTGTGGCTACTTCATAACTACTTAAAAGCTTACCATTATGTGCTGCCATTTCTAGTTTACAGTAATGTCGTCTTCCAGGTTTAGCCCACAGAATTAGCCCATCGCCGTAAGGAGTACTCATGGTATTTAGGGAAAGCCAAGTGAGAGACGGAAAAAAGGGGAGGCAGAAGAATAAGGGAATAACTAAGGTAGGTATTAACACTTCTCTACTGTACATAATCATATATTGTATTCAACAGGGGTCATCACTAATGTGTTTTCAAGTCGAAAGACGCAGACTGTAGATGCAATACATCTCTGTTGGACCAGAACTCCTCCGACTTTCCAGAATCACACAATCAAGTGCGACTTTAACCAGTGGTTAGAACGAATAGTAACATTATCCCTTATTATTTGAGGCATGTCCCTAAGCTCTCATTCAGAAGCATTAATGTCAGATTAAATTGCTCATTGGCATCTCTGCGTAGACTGGACTCTTTTTGGTCAATCCCTAGCCCTTTCAATCTTCACAAGTTAGAGGTAGCACTCTTGCAGTCCTTTCATTCTCTCCATATGTCACCTACAATCGCAAATCCTTTCTTACTTGGGGTTGCTCCCAGTACCTGACCATCATCAAATTCTTCACGATCTTATGTTCCACGCCCGCGGTGTCGGCAGCTCGCTGGAGGAAGCGTAGAGTGTTGGCTATTCTGTGTGGATCGAAATCATGACGAGAAGATGAGCGAAACGAGGATCGCAAAGTTCGGAGAAGTACATGGCGCGATGGCGTAGAATAATTAATCACCCGCAGTCCTTGCCGGTAAAGGTGACGGTAGGCCTGAATGACAGCTCGCTGATCCACATGGGCGGCACTACTCATGGTGTTTAATGTTGTAGTGAATGCTCAAATGACCGCAATGTTCATGACTATGAGTGACAGTCTCAAGGGAACAACATTCCCTGGGAGCCAGAAAATGTCCTAATATCTGGAGAAAGAAGTTGGAGCAGCGCTCAGTTAACAACTAGTCTAGCCGAAATAGGTAGGCGCCTCCCGCGCGTTAGGCCGCAAATGATCGGCTGGTTGCGACCCTCCGCATCTTTCTTTCTATCTGTATGATGGTCCGCGGCGCGGCACTGCAAGCATAGCTTCATCAATTTGTCCACTTTCCTTCCTCCATTTTCTTCCATTTGAACGATTGTGAAGCAGAGACCGCACCGGACGGTTATAATATCCAGCCCTATCTTTCCCTCTAGAGCTGCTCGTGTTTTTTGTGTAGAGATGAATCAGATGAATCACTAACTGGCTTTACCAAGCTATGGCACGCTACTGATTGCTCTTTCTTCTCCCGAGCTACATGGTCAGCTCGCCGAGCTCACCTGGAGTTTATGCACTGCGTGCTTGAGGAGATACTGTTATAATGAATGCTTGTCTTCTGTAGTGACTGAAGACCAGACATCCACCTCATGGCCCGAGTATTTCGAAGGGCCGCTTCGGCCCTTGCCAGGCGTGCTTCAAGTAGGGCTTCTCAAAGGGCCGCTCGGAAGCATAAGGTGATCATGGAGTCCGTTACACAGGAGAAGAAAAAACTTCGGAGTGTTGTATGTTATTGTATCGCTAGCTTTGCTCGGGACGATCTTGACAATCATGGCAGATATATTTTGAAGCAAAGGCCCCCCCTGGTTATACCTTCATTCCCGCAGGCAACCCTCAGCTCACCTCTGCATGCAAGGAAATATGCCGGAAAGATGGTCTCAAGGTTTTTGCTGTCACGGTAGGCCAATAGACGTTTCTCCACTCCCCCCTGGGTCGCCGCTCCGTTTTTACTAGGCCTTTAGCACTTCTCTTCTCTAATTCTTAATCTTACCTAACAGACAACTCCACATATGCACACCCATAATCTTTCGCAGCATGTGCACAGGATTGGGTATCATTTTCCAAGTGCTATTGTTGCGACTGTTTGTATGGATTTAAGTCTCTATCTTACGCCAACAGGCAAGGCAATGCCATTCCAAAGCATTGGCTATACACAAACTCGCAAACGCACTAACTCGGAGTCTTCTCAAACAACCATTAATACTGAGGCCCGGGACGTGTTGAAGGATCTCTTCCCTAATATACCAGACAACGATCTGAACCAGATCATCAAGACTGCGTTTCAAAAAGTATGTGAAACATTTCTGCACCAGCTAAAAGCAGGCGCGAGATAATCGTACTAAATCAACGGAAGGGTCAACGCAAAGTGGGCACGGCAGTTGAGCTACCCCTCGCTCGCCGAGCGCAACTAGCAGTTGTGGCCCATATTCGACATGTGTATACTGATTACGATCGTCTTCTCAAAACCACCTCATTCCATGAGGCTAGAAGTATTGTTGAAGAACCTACCTTAGCGAAATTGGTGGAATGGAGAGGCGATGATGAAAACGGGAAAACAGTCCTAGAGGACGTCTTCCGTGAAGTCATTGTTATTTCTGATGATGAAGATAGTGATACTGAAGGTGACATACCTCAGACTATGGATCGGGACTACAGTATAGAGATCGTTTCGAGCCATCCACATGCAGAAGACCTTCAGACGAAGCCAGTCTACTACGCAAACTCCACCCATCGAGAACATCACCTGGAATTCTCGGATGAGGAGGCCCCACCGGGTTTTCATTTCATTCGAATAGCTCCTAAAAAGCCCAAAATTGACCGCCGCGGCTTCAACAGATACCAGGCCTGGGATCGCGCCATCCACCGGTATAGGAATGCAGCCAATGGGACTGACCAACGCAAGCTTCATGCCGGCTCTACTAATCAGGGAAGACCTATATATGCTGCACAGCAGCCTTGGCAGGATACCTTCGGGGTTAATAGGGACCCTGCTCCAGTCCAAGCCGTTCTTCATCGGCAACTTTCCGCAACATCATACGGGAACGCGATAACTGAGCCGCACATATTAGCTATCGACCCTGTGGTAGAACGCCGTGTAAGTTCTCAAGGCACTAGTTTTTCACTTAATATAACTATTCTTGTCAGTTAAGTATTAAAACGACGTCTTGCTAATTTTAGAGAAGCCATATGAGGTATATCCTATAACCCGATCACCTCGTCAAAGAGAGGCTGTGCCCAAAGTGGTGCAGGCTCCAGAGTCTTTTGGGGCTAAGAATCTACTCCATCAAGGTGACCCACCAAATGCCCCTGTCTTCGTTAGTGGCCCTAAGAAGGTTCTTGGGAATAATGGGAACCAACGTGGATCTCAGAGACCTTCAGGCCCCATTCAAGGCAGAGCAAACGTTAACCCACAGGACTGTGCCTTGCCGTCTATTGAATCTCCTTTGTCACCGGAAAACAATACCCTGGACAATGGCCTGCTAGACCACATTCCCGGAAGGATGTCGGGAGGGTGCTCTATTCGCCCACTAACACCACGTCGTCTCCCATACAAGAATACCCAACGCCCAGCACTTGAAGATAGGGTGCAAGATCAACTACCTAAAAGGTGTGTGGCTTACTACGAACCTGTCAATGTCGACAGGGGCCATTCTCACAACGCTCGTACCAGCAATCCGGCGAATGCTTTCACGGGGGAACGGTATATGACCTTAGGATATCCACCGAGACAATCTCCTGTTCAGGGTGATCTCCATATTCGTAAAAGATATCTTGCACCATTTAATCCTATTCCTCAATCAGAGCTCCAGCTAAGGAAAGTCCAAGTGTCCAATTTATCTGCCACCCGTCTTGATCTTGAGCCAGGGGCCGTGCTCCCGGAAGATTATGAATCTGCAGGAGGCCAGTCGCTACCCCATAACCAATCACTTGAAACTCGCAGGCAGTGGAGGTCTCAAGGACAGCTCCACGCTTTGCCGGAAGCCGGAACTGCGTTTCCGACGACGCATTGCTCTGATAGAGCTGTTCTTGGGTGGTCTTCTAACCTTAGTGAACAGAGGATTTGCCATCAAGATCATTACACCAATGAGAGCAGGAGACCATTCAATGTATCAGAATCTCATAAGTCTACCCGAGGCCACACTAACGATCACAGTCTCATGGAGTTTGGAAAGACCGAAATGCGGAGGCACTATGCTGATGATTTTGTTCGTACTATTGATTCGCAGGCCCCAATTCCAATGGAGTACCCACCACAACATCACCATTATAGGAACCATGCCCGGGAGCCCCTTATGCAGCGGGCCTATGTTCAACTCCCTCATCATCCTTCCTGCAACACTACTGTGCCGGGTAATATCAGCTCAAGACAGCCTTCTGTTCGAGGTCCACTGCATTCGCGGGTGGCATCTGCAGCCCAATCCTATGCTACGATGGCAAATCCGGACATGAGATGCCATGATGCTGGGTTGGTCGAGTCTACAGCCACAGAGCGACCATTCCAAGATTCGCATAGTTTTTCACGGTATGGCTACAGCAGTCTGTTTACGAAGTCCTCTCTACTCGTGCCCTTCGTTTCTCAACTCATCTACCCTTCTTTCGATGCCACGAGCACGTTGGCTGACCTTTCTTCCAGGCGAATATGTGAACAACACTCACACACGCAATACACACGAGAACTAGCCTACCCTACCTATGTGAGGAGAGGCGATCGATCTCAACCGTGCCACTCAGTGCCTGAAGGTAGAACAGTTGTTATTGTGGATTAGATGGGTGAGCTGGTCTGTTTATGAGCGCTCTGTTGCATTGAATTCTACGGAGCTAGTCTCTAGTGTAGACTCCTGCATGGATACTGTACATACATATGATATCATAAGCATAATACCCAAATGTGTGCCACTTGACATCGTGATGATTAACTACTCCCATGATAATAAACATGCCTGTACTTGAATATTCAGGTCTATTAGGTACCCTTAGGGCGACCGAAGGTAAACCGCTTGCATTCGCCTCCTCAGAAGGGAGTAAGAGAAAGATTTAGATTGTGAGAAGCAGAGGTTTTATGAGCAGCTCTGTAGTGAATATCTCAAGAGAGACTAGATCAAAGAATTTCCTGCCTCAGTAGCAACATATGCCTGTTTGCTATCCATCGATTCATTGACCTGAATTCTTTGAAAGTGTGGCCACATGTCGACAAAGAGTTCTATTCAGACAGCCATCGTTTGCCCATCTGCTTCTCCGGCATTGACTGTCTTCCCAGTCTTCTTGATAGTAGCCAAGACAATATCATACGACACAGACGGTTCTGTCACGACAGTGGCAGTTTGAGAATTCAGGCTGACGTCGAAAGATTTGACACCTAACAATAAAAGAGTTAGTGAGCTGCGAGTTGTCTATATATTCATATATTGCTCGGTAGGTCTTCCATTGTCGTGGTCAACTGTTTACGTATCACCAGTATACCAAGAAGTATTTTTCTTTTTTTTTGGTCCTTTTTTCTTCCCTCCCTCTCCATATTTGCCTTCTCCTCTTGGTCTATTTCTGCATGATTTGGGGGTTCCAGTCGAGGTTCAGGGGATGTTGGGAAGGAAGAAAAAGGAGGGGACAGAGAAACAGTAACGCCTACCTTGCAACTTCTTCAGTACCCGTTCTACGGCTCCTGAGCAACCGCCACAACTCATGGTGACGTTAAATTTGTACTGGTGTTCAGACATGGTCGAATGATCGGTCCGTTTTGATTAAAAGGAAGATGGATGGGAAATGTCTGTTCTGAGGTTGTGTTAGGTGAGGATTTGGTGGGGAACAAGACAGTTGGCCAGAGCGGAAGTGGGCAAGCCAATATTATCGGTGTTGGTAAGATGTAAATGATGTGATTCTCTCTACCCAAGCCAAGACTACATACATATATGGCTTCGGTCACTTTCTCAAAAGAGAAAAGCAGCAATCACGCATACCCTCTACTTGAAACAATGATGATACACAGTCTAGTTGATCTATTTTGGGTTATAAATATTATATCATTCCTCTTAGTTATATCTTTCTCATTTCGCTGTCCATTTTCAATGACGACAAATGAATACCTCCTTGGCTTTTTATTCCTCTCTTCCTCCCCTTCCTCTTTTTTAGCCTTCCTTGAGCAGAAGAGACCAAACATAGGCGACTAAAAGCCAGCCGGTCGCTTCTTCTTTTTAGCCTTCACAGTACTTTTCCTCCCAGGTTCTCGACCGCCAAACGCCCCTCGCTCGACTTGGGTCATGGGAAGGTTATCATCCAAGACCTGACTGCCCTGAAGTCGCACCATGGGCTGCTCATTGATCTCGGGCTGGCTGCCCCATTCTCGGACAGTAGGTGCTGTAGATGTCACCGGACGAGGGGCGAAAGAGTCTACTTTCTTTTTCTTCAATCGGCGCTTTGGAGTCGTATCTTTAGTGTCCCAATGCGATTCCTCCAGTTCCAGCGCTTGTACAGTTCTTTGCCAGTCATACGTAGCTGGGTCTGCCCCCGGTTGCCAGTGTTGTAATATACTTGTCACGTTTGGAGACACAAACCGCTTTGGGTCAGTATTGAAACTGGTAAAAGCAGCTAGGGTGGAGTTAAGAGATCCCGGTTTTACATCAGATGTTTCATGGCCTTCGGTTGCGAAGCTACTCCAGTCACTTTCTCCAGGGGTGACAGGCGGGAAAAGTGTGTGTTTCCCGCTCCTGGATATCGAGGTAAATCTCGAACCGGATGGTGGCGTACCCTCCTTTTGATTTGATGATTGTGAGTTAGTTCTATTTGATTCGTGATCTATCCTACGTGCTGCGGCGACCCGTGCCAGGGCAAAATCTGCTGCAACATTTCGGATAATTTTCTCCTTTGTGATCCGTGCGCGAACGGGTATATTATGAGACAGGGTAAGCCAATCATTGACTGATTGGTCATATATCTCTATCAGGCCAGACTTAAAAGGCTCTGTTGATTGAACAGGATTGGTAGATCGTGAACTTAGATGGCCAGGTAATTGCATGACAAGTTGTTGGTGTTTGTGGGTGTATGCGTTGTCTGTTAAGAGCGCAGATAGCAAGTCCTCGACATCCTGTGCATTCTGGTCAACATCATCCAATGGCAAGCTGCGGCCAAGGATTTCAAGCCTATGGGTAGTCAGTATCATGGTGTTCAAACGATATATTTCTTCATGAACCATACAGAGTCTGACTAGTCAATTGGCTCTCTGGGATTACAGGAATATTTCTTTTCAACTGTTCGAGAGACTCCGGAAAGCTTTTCCCATGCCTCTGACTGGAATCGCTCCCTGGCGAAACCACGAGCCTCCCAACAGCAACCTCGTAAGCCTGCGAGAAGTCGATTGTCCATTGGGAAATTGCAAGTGGTGAAATATTAGAAATCCCAGTATCTGGCAGAGTAGGCGTTCCAGGGCCCACTACAGACTCGTCGCAGTCATCAACTATGAAATCCCCGTAAGACAGAGATGAATGCAACTGCCTTTGGCGTGTCGTTGGGTAGCGTCTTTTCAACCGGATGATATCTTTTTCCAGGTCTTGCCTATATGAGGCACCGTTATCGGAAGGTCCAACATATAGTGACTCATGTATAGATAGGCGCGAGTCTAACACGAAAAGCTTTATAAGCTTTAGACCCGGATCATAGTCTTTTCTCCCAGCCGTCGATGGTAGATGCATGATATTTTTGAAAACAAGCGATGAAAAATGTGCAGTACTAGGTTGAGACTCGACGTTATATTCAGACCCCAGCGGGATGTCTAAAACATAGGGATCGGGCATAGGTTCTATGTCTTCGTGGCCGGAGGATACTGCGGGACAATAGAAAGCTAGTGCAACGTGGCTTAGCCTTGAGTATAGCACAAGATAGAGGTCCTCATATATGGGCAGATGTGTCAATTGCAAAGTGGTGTCTTCCGGATCTCGAAAGTGACACCAGGACAAGCGAGGAAAGAGGGAAGGCTTTGTCCCATCTTTAGGGGATACAACCAAGTCAGTGTTGACATCAAACCAGAAGACCCGTGATGTCGTTAGAATGAAGATATTGGATACGTTGCAGGCGCTCCGCTTAACATCCAAGATCCACTCTGACTTTTTTTTCAGACCAAGCTCTATAGGGTAAGGGCATGCCTGGTCGTCTTCCATCCGATAGAGCATGGGACAACGCCTGTCAGCGACAACAAAGCTATTGACATCTCCAACCCACTCTATGGTCGCCCATCCATCATGTCGAGGATAACCGTCCATATCATTACTGTCACAAAGATCTAGCCATGGCAGTGCGCCAGATTTGACGCATGTAGCAGTCCAATTACCTTTATTTTGTCTATGGCGACCAGATATTTCCCAAATGCTCCAGTTTCCCCTCTCGTCAACAATGCCAATTTGCTTCTGGTACCACGGATTGAAAGTCACAGCTGCATGTGTAGAGCCGCCGGTTTGGGAATTGGATATTTCCACCAATGGATTTGCATCGAGGCGGGAATTACGGGGTCTGCTTGGCAATATCTGATCGCTGTTGTGGCATATGTGAGCAGGAACAGGCGTCCTATGATGGAGTGGCCGAAACACCAAGGTAGAATGAGGAAATCGAGCCGCCATCCACGTTGGCTTCTCTTCCACGGTGCGCGCAAAACATATCTGACGAACAGGGGCACCTCGTGCAGACCACTCAGCACCTCCGGTTTCCTTGATGGAGGGAACACGCATACGGACTGCTGCATCCAGTTTCAAGTCCACACAATCTTCGTCTAGTTTGTAAAAAGAAATAGAATTGCCACACTCCCCAGACGCAACTACTGCGATCGGAACAGTTCGGCTCCCCGGCTCATCGTTCTCGAGCTCGACTGCATACCCCAGGTCTAGGAGTGAGGAGACTAAAGGGTCGCATATTTCGCTTGTAGTTGTGATGGTATGGGAGAGAGTCTCATTGTTAACGAGCGGCCAGCAAGCTGTAAGTTCAGGGTAAACCTTTGGCATGAGACTTTTATTCTCGATCTGTGATGATTGTGGTGCTGTAAGGGGCGATGTGATAGTAGTCTTTGTTGCCCCAGCGAAGGTTATACGAGGTGCTTATAACAGGGTCAGTATGAGGGAAATTAGAAAATGGTTCGCATTGTCCAGAGAAGCTTACGCGGAGTCAGTGTCCGAGGGAATTCCCAAATCTGTGTCTCCGGACGGTATATCGCTTTACCCAAGTGCCCATACTGTAGAGCACTGGTAGAATGTTCATCCATCGGGGTTCTCTTGGCTCCTAACGATATGTACAAGCCCTAGCCTTGCAAGCATATCGAGAATCGACCAGTAACGCGTTAAACGACGCAGTTCACGTTAGCCTAGAAGGCACAAGCAACCCTCTTGTAGCTTGTGGCTAAATATATGCGTCCCTACCGGCTATTGAAAAGTAAACATATGGAAGGGTCGTCAAGCATAAATATATTTACATGTGCATATACAATACAAGTTGTTTGTTGGGTGGGGGGGTTTTTTTTTTTTTTGGTTGACACATTTATCTGCCACATTTTACCGCCATAAGCACGTACCAGGTGTCCGGCGCCGCTGCTGCTACTCGTATAAATATGATATTGCATGCCTAACCTTGAGTTTACGAGGAATTATAGGTTCAATCTGCTTGAATCTACAGGAAGCCGCAACTCTTTGCACTCCATACGACTTACAATCTCACCTTTTCCTTCCCATTGAGGGGTTGTCATACTCGTGATCACCTGATACATATCCACACTCCAAAGTTACTGCCAAGCCTTAGTTCTCCGGTTGCACCGCAACAAACAGTTCAGGCGAGCATTACCACATTGTTCAGTAGAACTGTACCCTTACCTTGTTTATGACCAAAACGCGAATGATATCAGAACTAGACGTGGCACTCATCATGACTTCTTCTTTCGAACCCTCATTATCGACTAGTGGCATGCGTCCACCTCTCACATCAGCAGATGCACCTTCGATGGCGGATTCACTGCCTAGTATAAACTTTGGTTTCGAGGATCTACGCAATCGCATGGCCCAATTCACTGCTCGGTTTGATGCTTTCATTGAAAAAGGTAGAAAGCAGATATTGGAGGAGAGGAATCAGTTCAAGATCGGGCTGGCAGAACTTCAGGGTGTGTAAATGTGAACATTCAAAGGCACTGTGACTAATTCAAGCTTAGAGGACCAACGGATGAAACAGAGAGATATAGAGATCTTGAATCTCAAGTCACAAACTCACGACCAAACTATCCAGAAGGAAGCCGCTGAAGCCGCTGAGATGCATGGCACTATTTCATCAGTAACAATGGAGCGCGATTCTCGTCTCGCTAAACGAGATCGTTTAAAGCAACAAATCAACGAGACACAGAAGGCTATCAACCAGAAAGTGGATGCCCAGAAGGCTCATGCCCGGCATCTCGATGCACAGGCCCGCCTAAACATACCAGAGCTAGAATTTTGGCAGGATTATCTTTGTCTTCGTATTGAGGGAGCCGGGCGGGAAGATCGCCTGAAGTTCGTCTTTAGCCACCTACTTGAGAAGGACTGGGAAGCTGAAGCCTGGTTTGAACTCGGCACATCTAATCGAGATTATGAAGTGTTCCATACACGCCCCAAAGTGGAGAGGGATGCTCTTAATAGGGAGTTAGACAATTTAAACGAGGATCGCGACTTTGGTGCTTTTCTAAAAAGGATGCGCCGTCTGCTTGTCGAAACAATGAAATAGAAACGGCCCTCTAGTTGGTACGGTGGCGGGCTTTGACCATGTTGACGACAGCATAGCATAGAGTTTCATGCTGATGGGCATGATTTATGGCCTGGTGTACGTCGAGAGAAATGCATTTTCAAGAAAGAAGGGTAACGAAAAGAGTTTTTCACACAGTCAACAACCCGCAGGCAATTTACTCGGTCTGTCGTTTAGTAATTTGCAGAGGAATGTCTAAATATCATGGATTGTATGCGTCAACAAATCAGCCGCCTGTAGCTTCCCTGTAGAATGATATGCTACGGCTTGCCCCAGCCGTGGCAAATCCTTCTGACTTCCCAATCTTCGGTAGCCATTTGACGTTCCAAACGGCTCTCTCTGTTTCGGAATGCGTTGCAACACATGTTCTGGTATCGATCGACCAGACTTTCACTTTTCCATCGAATGATCTTCTTTGTCGTTAGCACAATTTTGTTAAGCAGTTCAGGTGTTAAAGGAAGGGTTTACCCGCTTAAGAGATATTCTCCCGTGTGGCTCCAAGAAAGCGATAAAACCCATGCTGAATGTCCCGAGAGGTTAGCCACTTGCTCGCCAGATGAAGTGTCATATAATACGATCACGTTAGAGTCCCCAGCAGCAGCGAGGAACTTTCCCCCTGGAGAGAATGCAACAGCTCGCACGGGCTTCACTAGGCCTAGAAGATATTAGATATGCCCGTCAATGATATGTGAGAGATTATAGGGATGCATGTGAGGCATATACCTGATAAGCTGAACGGCATACGACCTGTTTCCGTGCTGAAGATATAGATGCTGCCATTTTCATGCCCGCTAGCTATGAGGCGACCATCTGCCGACTATATGAGACTGTCAGCGCGACCGAAAGAGGTGAAAACTAAGTAGGCAGGTTACCAAGTCTATGCAGGTACCAAAGCTACCCTTGGTCTCATAATCACGTATTTGTTTGCCACCGGCATCCAAATCCCACACTCGAATGTGCCCATCTTGGCTTACACCGGCAAGATACTGGCCATCGTCTGACAAGGCGATTGCCCATATGTCGGTGGATCCTGCATTACCAGCTGTTCAGATGTTAGTGTAAGGAATCACATGAGGATTAAAGCACAATGGATTACCTGAGGCTGTCTTATTTTCGGACCAGGTCCCGTCATGACAGGACCAAATCTTGATCTCACCACCAAAACCAACACTCACTGATCTCGACCCGTTGCCATCGGTTACTACATGATGACACCCAAGTTTATGGGCCTCATCGATTGATTGTACTAGTGGGAAATCAGAGTGAGCGGTCGAGTGAACTTTGAGAGCAGAGACACCAGAAGCCGATAAAATCTGCTTGTTGGTTACAGCCAATGAGAAGATATCAGTAGGGTGTGCTGTACACTATTAGCACAATTTTGATAAGGTAGGGAATTGGAGAAAACTGGGGTGGTGGAAGAATTAGGAGGGAAACAAGCTGGGGGAAGCGCAAAATGGAGGATCCCTATACATACCATTATCTGCAGAACCGCAGGATAGATACTGTTTCGACTATTATTGGGTAGCATGTCAGAATGCGCACGATAATATCCTTCATTTCTTAGGCTTACCATCGTAAAATGTCTTGAACCATGTATGGGGACAATTTAGTTTGGAGGCACCAACGCTCCGCGGGGATGAACAGAGTCGATGTACGCCGTAATTCGCGACAATAAATAGTGGGACAATTTCACCGTCGGGTGAGATCATCCAGGCCCGCCTTCACAGGAGCCAACAATGGCATTCTGAAAAATCTGCATACTACGCAATTTGCAGGCATTGGCAATAATTAATAGGGAGTACGAGATGGGGCCATTCAATTGAAAAGGTTTTGGTAAATAATATTGTAAACAAACACGTAAATTTCCCTGTCAGAACCAGACGCCCAATGCCATGCAGCATACATATACCCGACACTTTATGTATATAGTAAAAGTACAAGCGTTAAGAGCACATTTAACCCGATCGCTTCCTCGCCTTTATAGATATCGTTCAATTTTCATTTTAAGCGGTTTGGGTTTGCTTCCATTGCTTTTTAATGTCTGTCAAGTCATTAGTTGTCAAATTCGAGACTGATCAACACAGTGGTGTGAAGTCACGTACTTTCAACACAGTGTGGGCACAAAACATGAGCACGCTTTATTTGACCGCACCCAGGGCAGGTGTTGAGGCTTTTGACATCCTTCAAAGCCTTGCCAGCCATCTGTCTATGACGTTTCTTCATGTGGGATGTTTTCTTTTTCGGTACGGCGCGGAGTACAGAGTCCCAAATATCGGACAGAAATCCGGGTATATTCAATGCCAATGCGCCGGGTTTCAAAAGGGTTGCAGAGATATTGGGGGTCGTCTGCGCGGAAGTCTGCCAAATGTGAGAGCATCGTCCTCTGACGGAAGACATAGCTTGGGAGGCCGTGAAGACACGCGGCATAATCTGTGAGGAAAAGGTGAATGGAAGCGATCGCAGTGCCATAGTGCCCAAGTTTGGTAGTAGACCAGCTGTAACGATGGTAATCGAAGGGAATTAAGCGTATCTGATATCAAAAAAATTATGGCTCTGGAAAGTGAAGCTTCCCGCCGACATTGGCGGGTTTGCTGACTTGGGTCCGGAGAGCGACCTAATCCCGAAGTAGACTAGTGACCCCCTGAGAGCGCAACAACAATTAAAGGGGCCCATAACAGTGATGGTCTGCATCTCTCCATCTCTAGTCAAACTAGCAACTTGGGGGTGGAAAACTCATCTTTCAAGCACTAGACTTTCTTGGTAGTCTACTCGTGTTTGATATTTCAGTCTTCACATTCACCTCAGCCCCATTGATCCCGTCGGCTGCTCGCTGAAGATAACCCCAGATCAACCCTCTTCGTTCTCCCTCCACCATGGCTACCACTACTACCTCGACTTCGACAACCCCGGCTACCGTTTTCCCTCGCAGCCATGTCGGTTTCGACAGTATCACCTCCCAGATTGAAAGGAAACTCCTCAAACGCGGTTTCCAGTTTAACGTGATGTGTGTTGGTAGGAGCTCCCTGATCTACTTGTATATAGATACTTATTGACCGTCAAACTGACTGTTGAAAAAGGCCAGACGGGACTTGGAAAATCTACCCTAATTAACACTATTTTTGCTTCCCACTTGATTGACTCGAAGGGTCGTCTGACTCCCAATGAACCTGTGCGCTCGACCACGGAAATTCAGACCGTCTCCCACAGTAAGTCACTGTCACACATTCATGCAAAAGGTATCCAGTTAATATTCAGCAACTAGTCATTGAGGAAAATGGCGTACGTCTCAGGCTAAACATTGTTGATACTCCTGGATACGGTGATCAAGTAAACAACGATAGATGGTATATGGCACTCCTCACATGTTTGCATTGGTCAAGCTAATCCCTTACCAGTTGGGACCCTATTGTGAAATACATCAAGGACCAACATTCCGCGTACCTCCGAAAGGAGCTTACCGCTCAGCGTGACCGTTATATCCAAGACACCCGTATTCACTGCTGCTTGTTCTTCATCCAACCGTCCGGCCATGCGTATGATTTGAAGCCTCTGGAATTGGCGAAATATGACCGAGCTGACTATACTCTAGCCTCAAGCCCATTGACATCGTCGTTTTAAAGAAGTTATCTGATGTCGTCAATGTTGTTCCTGTAATTGCCAAGGCCGATTCGCTTACTCTCGAGGAACGTCAGGCGTTTAAGGAAAGAATCAAGGAGGAGTTTACTTTTCACAACCTGAAGATGTACCCGTATGATAACGACGAGCTCGATGACGAGGAGCGCGCGGTCAATGCCCAAATCAAGGTCTGCACCTCTCCGATACATGTGCTTAACCTGCCTCTGATGCATAAACAGGACATTATTCCATTTGCCGTGGTCGGCAGTGAGAGAACTATAGTTGTCAATGGTCAACAGGTTCGCGGCCGACAGAACCGCTGGGGTGTTATCAATGTGGAGGATGAGAATCACTGTGAATTTGTATACCTGAGAAACTTCCTCACTCGCACCCATCTGCAGGACCTTATTGAGACAACAAGCCAGATCCACTACGAGACCTTCCGTGCTAAGCAACTTCTTGCTCTGAAGGAGAGCAGTGCAGCGGGAGGTCACAGTGGTGGCAGCCGGCCCATCAGTCCCTCGGCTGACAGGGAGCTCAGCCGCAACTCTCAACGGATGACCATGAATGGCTATTAACAGCGCATAAGAGCGTTAAGCATAGATCTCAATGCTCCATGGAGCAAGCCGTCCATGCCAGTTGTTTCCATACATAGGTGCACACGCAGACAACTTAGGAGCAATGTCGAGCGTCCCTTCACTTTTCTTCTTATTTCATACATAACTCATCGTTCATACCAGCATGTTCTTACAGATATCCTTTTAACTTCTGATTTACCCTTGGCTTACTTTGTTGCCTATTTTGCTAGCTCCCAAGGTGCTTTTATTCCGTTTTCTACGATTGAAATTGTTATTACAGACCAGAAAGCGGCTATCAAAGATAGCGCTAGCATCCATTTTAATTGTCTCATGTACTTAACTTCCTTAATCAACACCCCACGAGGGAAATACAGTTGATATAACCCAGGGGTGCTGCTGGATAATGCATTATAAACAATAGAATCAATCACCGTCCATAGCGTTGCCAATTCTCTTGATCAATGATGACACCCCTTCTGCAAAAAATCTTATCCCATAGGCTGGTTGGCTATTGCTAGGCGCCGAATCTACCACTGTCGACAATCCAGTCCCTCAACTCAGTATAGGCCTCTTCCAAAACGTTATTGACAACTAGCTTGTCATGTGCGCCGGGCTCCTTGGCATACTCGAGCTCATTTTTGGCCTGTGCTAAGCGTTTACTGCCGAAGCTGCGGTCAATACCTTCTCGTATACAACAGAAGAGATGCGATCCTTCCGATACAACTCACCTCAAGCTCTCTTCGGACTCAGTACCTCTACCTCGCAACCTCCGTTCTAGTTCTTCAACCGATGGCGGGGCGAGGAACATAAAACGAGCGTTCAGGTCGGTACGCTTCACTTGCTTCACGCCCTGTTCAATTAAAGCCATCAGTACGACTGTCTCGGCCTAGTGCTCATCCTCCGTGAAGCTCATGGTTTTGACACCCGTGGCAATATGTGGACTCAATTACCTCCATCTCAATGTCGAGGATACAAATCCTACCCTTCTCTGCAATATCTTTCACGGCCTGGACACTGGTACCATAGTAGTTCCCTCCAAACTGCGCATGCTCAATGAATCCATTTTTGCTCACAAGGTCCAGGAAGTCCGCTGTTGTTGTAAAATAATATTCGCGCCCGTGCTGCTCGCCCGGCCGTGGAGCTCTGGTGGTGTCTGCACTCGGTAAGCAAATGGTTAGCTTACAAGAAGTGAGACACAGAATTGTTGTTGAAAAGCCAGAAAGGTTGGGGACGGACGCGAAACAGAAAAACCAAAGGTGTCAGGATAATCAGCAAACAGTCGTTTTAGTAGAGTTGATTTTCCAGCACCAGAGGGGCCCGATACCACTACTGGGCGAAACTTTTGCACTATATACAAGTCAGTATCCTGGTAAGTCCATGCGCGTTGAGGGGTATGCGCTAACGGGATTCGCACCAGCACTGGTTGACATTGTCAAAGCTGAGTGGCGAAGGAACAACTGGATGCGTCCACTATGAGAATGCAAGGTTGAGCGAGACTTTAAGAAGCCTTGCATAGACAGGAAGCACACAGGGAAGAACTGGAAACGAGGTCTAGACCTTCCAGAACTGCCGCTTTTTGACTCTGACGATGAATTATCTAAAGGCGGTGACCACACACTACAGCAAACACCACAAACAGGAACCGACTGTTTTCATTCAATTGCATGTAAATTCGGTCATAAACAAATAATTAGAAGTACACGTTTTGATAAGGTCCTGCTTATCATATAGCTCGCGGAGAACTATCCTAACAAATTCTTGACACAGTATATGTGAGCAGCGACGGATGTGTATCGAATGTCTTCTAGATACCCCACAGCATTCAGGGTTTTGGTTGTATATATTCCTGCGCAGTCTGAGACTCCTGCTCAAGAAAGTTAGACCAAAGCTCCGCCAGCGACTCCTTGTTTGAGTTCCCATTATCTAAGAATTCAGTAGCCAGCGTTGGAGTGCTGGGGGTACGATGAATAGGTGTACTTGGGACTCTAAGCTTGTTAGAGGTACCTGAAGTTCCTGGGCGTGCTAGACCAGCCTGTTCTCGCTGTTCTGGTGCCGGTTGTCAACTCTCGTGTCTCTGAGGGAGGGAAATCGAAAATAACATCACATACCATCTGTCCAACCTAAAAGAGCCGAAATAAGTTGCAATATCTGAAATTTCTTTGGGTCTGACCGATCAAGAGCAAGGAAATGTAGAAAGTGGTTCGTAACAATATGCCTAACTGAATCGTCAGCAAGTGTCAACAAGCTACTGAGGAGCTTCTCTGGTATGGTAAGTCTCGACGTGCCTGTCAACATTATCCTCAGGTTTCCCTTTCTTGAGAAATCTCAAGGCCTTGGTCAAGTGATCGTTCAGTGTCACTGCCTCATGTCTGAGTTTGCCAATGAGGAGATTCTTTTCCTTTACTTCTTTCTCAAACGGCCCCACTCTCTCCAGTTCTTTCTGTGCACTTCGGAGAGCTTTATCAGCGTCCAACGCCTTTTCCTCCGCACAATGAAGGGCCTGTTTTAATTCTTCAAGTTGAGCGTCTGAGCTCTCTACGAGCTCACGAAGTTCTTTTCTGCGAGCTGAGACAGGTTAAATCTTTCATCCATGACAATTCATATGCAAGGATTTGCTTACCGGTCTGGATTTCCTGCAAGGCTCGCTGTAACCCATCCACGGCGGCTAGTTGAGAATCGCGTTCATCGGATGTTCTTTCATAGGCATCTTTGAGGCTAGCAAGCTGCTCCTCAAGGTCTACAACTTTCTCGCCTAGAGTTTCCCTGATAGACCGCTCTTCCATAGCTAGAACTTCCCAGTTGTGCATAGCCTCCTTAGCTTGTTCGAATTCGGATTGAAGATATGATTGTTGCTCTAATAGTTCTTCCTTCTCCTTCAGCCAGTTCTGTTGTGACAAGTTCGTCCGGTCTCGTAATGTTGATATCTCCTTCAACTTGTGTTCATTCGCTTCCGAGAGCTCTGTCAGCTCAGAGCATTTCACCTGGAAATTCTCTTTCAGCGCTGAGTTCTGCTCCTCCAGCTCCCCGATTTTCAACCTAGCTTGAGCAAGTTCCTCCTATCAAAATGTTAGCTACAACTCAACGGTTCTGGGTAAATGTGGATGGGCGCACAGCGTCTTCTTTGAGTCGTTCACCTAGCTGCGACTTGATTGTATTAACACGCTCCAATAGCTTCTGGAACTGTGATTCCGCGTGCTCTTTTTTGCCCTCTGCATCGTTCAGTTTGTGCTGTAGAGCTTCCATGTCCGCTCGATGCTTAGATTGTATTTCTTCTAAAGACCTCCGCATGTCCGTCACCTCAGCACGTAGTGAGTCCCGATCCCGTACAAGAGCGTCAAATCGTTCTTTCGATTGGAGTGCATCGGGGGGTGAATTGGTCATACTGCGAGAGTTCTCCTTTTCTCCATATCGGGACACTGCTTGTCGCTGGTCACTGTAGTCATTTCTTGAACAATCATTGGAAACGCTCTCATTTTCACTCATGGGAACCTTCTGCTTCTCCGTAACCCTCTCATCGGTCGAGTTGTGTACGGCGATCTGGTCTCGTTTATTAGCAATCGCAGAGAAAATTAAGTAGGTGCACCCACGTTTGAATTTAACAAGTCGGAGGATCCCTCCTCCCATGGTTTTGCAGACACATCCTGCTGCTCTTCATTTTTCTTGTCATTGCCTTCCCCGTTCTTGACGGAGCCCTTGTTCTTCCTCTTGTTTCTCGGGTTGCTGTCTGGTCAAGAGTGATTTGTGAGAACGGCACTCGGGGAAGTGTGCGGAGCTGTCCGTTGATCAAATACGTACCTTCGGGCATTTTTCTTTTGAAATTTTCGGGATATGTTTTGTCTTTTAAGTCGATGATGGCGGCCACCCGGGAGTGGTTACAAGATCAACCATAGCTGTCAACACCCTTTAGCGCGGCCGCAGTTATTCGCTAGCTCCCGAACCCCGAACCTCTCGCTTAGGTACATACCAGGAACGACGTAACTACCTCAAATATATTGAGCTGCGAAATCACCACAGACTTAACGAAAGCAAGAAAGTGTTTCTATCAATACATATGTTACTATTGTGGTATTGTTTCGAGTTTGTGTTATTGGGTTCATGTAATGTCCAGTCTTTTCCCATTAGCTACCTACATCTCAGCGCCACGTAGTATACTTCAAGAGCGAAGGTTAAATAAAACAGTACACGGAAAACTTACCATGAAGGATATAATTAAACCAGACATGGCCAGCAGGATCGCTAATAAATCAAAAAATATATACAATAAAAATATATCAACTAACCAGAGCTTGCTTTGATCTCCGATGAGAAACCAGGTAGAACCGGTGATCAAAATGGGAATGTTCTCAGGTGTCCAGTAGTATGTCTAAGTCGATGTGGAGGTGGAAAGATTGGTTTGATATATCCATAGAACGGTTTCCCACGGAGGCTGGATTTTTGTAATCACATGAAGTCATCAAGGAAGTCAGGATCCCGATCTTGATTGCTGCTTCCCTGGACGTTCTCCTCACTCATCAGATCATCGTAGGCATGCTCTTTCTGCCACTTCAACTGTTCCCTTTCTCTCTTTTCTTTCTTTTCTCTTGCTCGCTGCTCGTCTCTGGTCTTCCTCTCCTCTCTCTGCTTCTTTTTCAGAGATTCCTCTTTCTCTGCCATAAGATCGGGATGTTTTTCCACGCGAGTTTTATTAAGCCGGTTGACTATAATATTCTCCCTTTGTCGAACGAAAACTTTGCGCACCAACTTGGGATTGTGAAAGGAGACTTGACCAGTAGCCATAGACCCGTCTTTCATCAAGTTTGACCATGGTGTATAGATGATCGTGATGTTATCTTTTTTATTCCCTGGTACGTAAGTTAGCTTACTATGCATTGGTAGCAGTACAGTATATTGGTTATGAATGGAAAGATTATTCACCCTCGATCGAATTCGCCTTCGTAAGCTGTGCGCAGTCTTCTAGAAGGGGTTGTGGGATATTGTCCCATGATTCACTGTCACGGAGGCGAAGATAGACATGTGCACTGGACAGATTATCAACATGAAACTGATCACAAAGTTAGACGGCATTCAAGAGGGCCTTGCTGTGTAGATGTAATGATAGCGAACCCTGTACAGGCCATCAAGACCAGCGACTGTTAGCATGCACTGCCACGATGAAGGTCAAACAACGGTGACAATACCAAACATCCTTCTCTAATCCATATTTTATAAGATCCTCATCTAGTTTTAACCATTGTCAGACTTGTAACCATGTCCTTGAGCTTGGAATATGGCCGTCATACTCTCAAATTTGTCTTTCCCGACATAGATAAAAGCGGATGGCTCAACCACATTCGATGTGAAGTAATATACCATATTGCTGCAATTATCTCTCCCGAGAAATCTTCAGTCAGATGACAGTAAAAAAGTATTTGAAGCCAACTGTCAAATTGTGAACACCGGAGTGTGTATTGGGAAGTGGGGTGTAGATTTTCCTCTAGTTGATTTTGTGGGGAACTCCGTTATGAATACTTAGTTATACACATACATAGATTAGTCATTTATTCTTGGTGTATTCCGACCTGTTCTTGGGAACACGCATGTATCTGGTTATGCTTTGATAAAACAACACCCAGTGTACGTGCACATGAAGCTAGCCATACTAAGGTGTATGAGATTCTCTCGACGGCTAGTTGAAGAAATGATAAGGTATTATAAGCATATAATCTATTATACTGCTAATAGTAATACCCACATGCATAGCTTCAAGCAACCAGCATGGTTCCCAAGGAGTTGTTCAGGACCTAGGCAGCCTGGACGTTTTCCTCTTATTTTTGGCGCGTTTTTTTATTGTATAGCTCGCTGTAATAATGCTCTCAACAAAGGTCTGAGGTTCTTGGACACAAATTAGGAACGATTTCACTACTAACGTAGTAGATGGTAAATCATATACATGCCTAAGTTCTTTCCAAAAAAAAAAAAAAAGTAAGTACTCGAAACAAGTCTACTATGTGAGATAACTCCGTGGCTAAGATTACATCATGATCCTATCATTATTCAAGCCCCCGAGTGGTCAGTGAACAAGATGGAGTTGCTTGGAACAAAACAGAACCCCACGGTTTGCTCTTGCAAATTGGACGCAGGGTCAGCTTGAATATATATTGTCACCCGATGTAAGATGTCCCTAGTATGTGTGTTAAGGCTCAGAATGGCATTAAAACTGAAATTTATATGGTAAATAATCCTCCCCTGGTAGATATATATAGGGGGAGAGTGCGTGTGTGTTTGTATTATATTCATATCAACCCCTAGAGGCCACGAGCAGCTTGGAAAGCAGTCATGGTAGACCAAGCTTTTTTTTCTAAAAAATAAAAATAAAAAAATAAAAAATAAATTATTATGTATCAATAGTAGTCATGGGGATTATTTCCGACATGTATACTTCTATGTGTATCTTATATGTGAAACGAGAAGCAGTGGAATAGAAGAAATCTCCCAGTAGGCCAATTCAATTGCTAAGTAGGCGGTTTAGTCATTTCATATACCTAAATGAGACCTAGGAATTGAGGACACTTGTAAACATCGAGGTTCCCGCTAAAATATGAGTCCGGCTGGCATGAAGTGGCTGTCCCACCTACAGTTAAGTGTAGGTATTATATTTACAAGCCTGCAAGATCATATGATAAACGAACAATTATCCTAAAAAGCAAACACCCCGTTACCTATTCCACTATGACTGAAGCGATATAAATAAAATGAGACGCTGTATATAGTGTTGTACTCTACAGTAATTACACAGCATAGACATGTCAACTAGTAGCTATTTGTCACATTCCCATTCGACTGAGCCTGGAATGCTGGGCTCCAGTAGACTCTTCGGAATAGATTGTCTGTTACCAGAAATATGCTACTATCAAACATTCTGGCATTGGTGCTACAGCGCTGCGAGTCATTTAACAGCCTTCCACTTCCACTGACTGCGAGGAAAGGCTTCATGGCATACCCACCTAAACCCCACTTTTCTTATGCACCGGTCCATACAGGCAACCTATATGTAAAAGGAGGGGAAAAAAAAGGGGGGCCACACACACACACACACACACACACACACACACACACACACACACACACACACACACACTTACTCACTCACTTACTCTGTACAGCGTACACACAGAGAGAGGGGGGATTGGGGGAAAGATGGGTAGAGGGAGGTCAGCTTCGAGCTCTTACTGCCATATATCGACCACACATTAAACAGTCTGCCTGGCTAAACATTATCTTGAAGTAACTGTTCTATTATAAGAAGGAGCGATAGTAACTGCAAATAAAGAGGAAGTACAACTACCTACTATTATTTGTCCAATGCAAGCCCCGGTTGTACTCAGGTTGTTGACCACAGCTGGAGACCATTAATGCATAACTAATTAGTTTGCAACCACTAATTGATCGTGAGGCAGCTTAGCAGACCATTGTGTTGTAAAGCCCTGTTAAACCCTACTGTGGAGCCTGAATCAGATCCTTTCCCAACAAGAGGAGAAACCGTTACGCCAAGAATTAAGTAGCAGCGCTATAACGGGTGAGCCCGTACAAAACCCCACCCGCCACATGGCTCTTCGGAACAGGTTCCTCTTAGATAAAACCAAGCAAAAAGTTAAAAAAGGAGGGGGAAAATAAAAGTGAAAGAGAGAAAGAGCGTATATGTGTGTGTGAAAGATGGATGTTGGGGGAAAGAAGCAAGACACTTCTTCAACAAGCATTTATACTTGTAATATGCTCAGCATTTTCTTTTGAAAGGATTTCGACAGAAGTGATCTTTGAATAGGCTTGGTATAGAAGAATTCGCAAGTACCCCACCATAAAAAACCCTAATGTGATCTATTTCGGTCTGAGATAGAAAAGAAAGAAAGACGCTTAAAGACAAAAATAAGAAGAAATACAGGGAAGATTAATTCACCACTGTTCTCTGCAATGCCAGCAAAGTAGTTGTGATCTTCGTCACTCTTAGAAAATGCGATCCACACCCTTGTGCTCCACCTAGAGTGTGTTAATTTGATAAAAGCCTGGGGCTTGCCAAAAAGCGAAATTTCTACCTTTCTTTTTTCTTTCTTCCTTTTTTTTAAATAAGGGGGTGGAAGGGGCGGTTGATGAAATATTTTCCCTTTGCCTTTTCCCCACGGTAGATTGGATCTGGGCTGTTTCTGTGTTGATTTCTACCATTTATTTTATTTATTTAATTTTTTTTTTTAAAAAAAAAAAGAAAATTAAATAAGTAAAGTAAAGATAAATAGAAATATAGAAAGGAACTTCTCCCATGAAACTCTTTAAAGATTACAACACCAAACAGCCCATCAGAAGAACTAAACCCCCAATGGCCAACTCTACCTCTTCTGTAATGCGACCAAACGTCCTACAATCGTTGGAACGAGCCAGGAATTGTGAAGAGAATGATGATGATCGCATTATCCTTGATAATGCTGTCACGGAGCTATGGCGAAGGGTTCAGAGTCAACCGGACACTTATGTGTTTACCCCAGATGAATTCGCTCTCTTCAACTATTTTATCGCCCGTTTTCAGGGTTCGCTTGTCACTCGAGGAGCAGTGGCGCGATTTTGGGACAATTATCGGCGAAACGGCTCAGGTCTGGACTGAAATGGCATGTCAATACCTTCGGCGCAGCGCCGGCTATCAACATGTGGAAGCCCATTCCAGTTTGCAGAAGAAGCTGGTTTCATATATCAGGGTCAAGCAAAGATGCAACAATCAGAGTGATATGATAGATTTTCTCTCCCTTTTCCTTTTCCTATAGTGGTTGGAGGACCAATGATAGCCGCGCCTGGTTGCGATTTGACCCGTGCATAGAGAGACGCGTGCGATTATTTTGGAAGTCATAAAAATAGCGGAGATCGACATTTTTTTTTTTCTGAGTTGCATCTTGAATCCCCCGGATTGGACAGGTTCTGACGGTACCTGTCAATGGCGCTTATTGGAAGATTGGCTACGAATCTAAATCCAATATGAGTCGATTATACCCGAGTGGCTGAAAGGTTGATATCTAGCCATTCATTGCCTGCATCGGGGTGGTTGGCCCTTACGTTTCCTCGTCGCCTTGACTTTTGCTTCCTTATCTGGGTTTCTCTCTTCTTTCAAACCCCGCTCATTCAATCAAGGAGTTTACAATTTCATTCCAATGTCTAAGTTACTGAGCTACATATGTTGAAAATTAAATCTTTTCATTTATTTGGCTTAAGTGAGATACACGCTGTCTTGGCTCCACCACCGACCCCCTTGTTTTGCCGCCGATTTTCCCCCCATTCTAATAACTATCGATATTTTGCAGTCATGCTCTATCTCTAGTATAGATTGGTATACATATAAATTTTCGTCCAAAGTAGGATAGAAAAGTGACACCTTGAACCGTGTACTCTTAAGAAGAAATACACCCAATTTAATTGTTAAATAGACTATAAGAAATATCCCAGAGTACAGAGAGCCTTTTGGTTAGTCAATCACTATCCATACAAACATCAAAAATCTACATAGCTCGTGAGATAGAATTTGTGTGGTCACAGGAATATCAGATAGAGTTCCAATATAAAGATCCCAGTTGGGTCGTTCTATCGCAACTTGGAAATATTTCCATTTAACCCATAAAAGATGGTGTATCTCTACACAGTTACGCCTTGTTAAGGAAGTCCCAAAACCTTTGAACTGATAGGCAATGTAAGCATCTGTATATAGTTATATAGTCAAGGATACACATAGAGTTCTTAGGTACTGAAATCTACCCCTATGATTTAACCCAACTAGTAACTGGCCATAAAACCAAGGGCATAAAGTGCAGACAAAAGAGCAAAGGAACCTGCACGGGTCCTTTATATAGGCGGCGACAGATAAGCTTGAAGCCATAGATAAATAGACTATGAGTCATGTGACCACCAGATTCCCTCCTTGGGGCTATTTGTAGCTACATTTTTCCTGGTCAGCAAATTTGTCTGTTACAATCACATCATAAGGTATCTCCCAGCGCGAGCTCCATTCCGTAACTTTTCCATTGACTGGACTGAGGCTTGGTAGGTACTCAATCTACCTTTCTGTTCCTGGACCTTAAGACTAGTACTCGGTATCATGAATAAGTGTATATGCTACATACAACTACATACATAATATTACAAGTACACTGGTACCCCATATTAAGGTCTGCCTCTAGGATATATTTACAATCCGTTCTTGGTGCCCATTCCAGTCAGCCAGACTAGATCCTCGATCACGTACTCTTCTTATATAAGCGTCTGATAGCGAGCCGATAGAGATACCCTACAAGCAGAAATTCCCATTTAAGTCAAATCTAAGAGCATGAAATATCAGACCAAGTCCAAAGAGGAAAATAAAGAGAACGCTTATAACCTCGTTGCTTACCCCTTTGGAAGTAAGGTTGATTAAGTCGTCAGTTGACCAGCAGCTCCATTACAGGAACGGTTCTACCATACTGTCAATGATTTCCCAAAATCATATACATCCACTCGTAGCAAAACTCATAAGAGGCGCGAGGTTGCGGGACGGGGTTATATGCCTCAGTCTCGTTGTCAATGTGGTATCCCAAATCAGCTATGCGGATGAGTCTGGCCGGTGACAAATGACATCTTGGACTTACCCTTCGAGACAACCCACAAGTATAGAATACGGAATGGGCGACAGGAAACACGTCTGTGTATGTGTTATGTCCAAAGAGGACTTTCACCAATTAGAGAACATCAGGATATGGTCACCCGACAAAGAGCTATCTATATCTAGAGCATGCGAAACTTAGCCACATGCTTCGTGATGTAAGTCTCTTGGGCAATGTTCTGCATGGTCAACCCTACTAAGAAATCAGTGGTGCGGCTGTCTGAAACACGCATAGACAGATCTGAAAGGCACGTTAATGACAACCATTGTACATATTCTTCCATTATGACGGCTTTATTATACACTTATACACGACCGCTCTATATATCATGATTTTCTATTTATTCGCAGCGGATTCAGAACTTATCAAGTGACTTGATGCTTCAGAAGCCACAGAAGTCTCAGGGCGGAGGTCACTATTAAGCACATCTGCGGGGGGGTCTGAGAGATGTATTAGTACTATGAAGCTCTTTCCATCATGGATTTTATTTACGTACCAGTTCTGGAGGACGCTTGGTGTTCCGCAGAATCCACCTGTTTCACTTTACCCGCCTCGACCTGAGCCCTAGACAATCCAAGGAAGTTCTTGGGGAGCCCCATTGATGAGAGGAAACTAACACTTTCTTTCCACTCGAGGTCTCTTCTTTTGGTATCCCAATTGAGTTCCTCACTCATCAAGTCAATGATACTGGGAAGGGCTTCCAGTGCTGCCTCAGCGTTGAGGAATGCCAATCGAGTTCTGCGAGCAATGACATCAACGGCAGTTTGAGCGTATTCATGGCGAACAGCATAGCGAACCTCGCCATCGATGAAGGGGTATAATGCAGAAATACGTCGGCCACGAATAGGGAAGCGGGCGTTTGTCGGTGAAGACAACGCTGCCACCTGCCAAGCGCGATCACCATATGATTGCGTTAGATGCTGGGCCACATCGGTCTCGAGACCAAAATGTTGAATGAGGTTGATAAACAGTGTTTTAGAATACCCGTGAGCTCCAATCAAGCGGACCTGGTGTGTCTGACATGACCCGTCAAGAACGGCACCATCAGCCACCAAACCGCTGCCTCCAACACCACTAATATCTGGAGCTTGGGAGACATGGCGGGGCGTAAGATTGAAAACACCAATCGCCTCGTCTACAGCTTCTTCTGCCATTTGGCGGTAAGTCGTCCATTTCCCTCCCGCACATGTCAACAGCCCGGACGGAGAAACAGTAATCAGATGGTTGCGAACCAATGCTTCAGAGCTCTTCACCTTAGGATCACGAACCAAAGGCCGAATTCCAGACCATGCTGCCAGCACGTCACTCCGCTCAACGTTGATATCAGGGGCTATGTAGCCACGGACTTCCGACAGAATCCAGTTGATGTCCTTTTCAGACGGCTCTGGTTGAGTCGTGATTTCAGTAGGTTGATCAGTGGTCCCAGCAATCGTGTTCCCCTGCCATGGAAGGAAGAAGATGACGCGGCCATCGGACGTGGAAGGGTCAATGAGACCCATGTTCGAGGGACTATAATATCCAGGTAAGATAACATGAACCCCAGAACTAGGTGCGACAATTTCTTTCACATTAGGCTCATCCATCTTTCTGATGGAGTCGGTGAACGGACCGGTCGCATTGATAATGCCTTTGGCCCGTATAGTAAATTCACCTTCCTCTTGGCCATTTTTTCCTGGTATGATATCCTTCACTCGTGCCCCATTTAGCTTGCCCGAGGCATCTTTGGTGAGGCCTGTGACCTGCATGTGATTCACAACAGTGCTTCCATACAATGCAGCTGTCATCGCAAGAGACACGTTCATACGAGAGTCGTTGTGAGCGCCATCTGTATATGCTATCAGTAATGCTAAAGTGTCGATGAATTCAATAGGCAGCGTTTTTGGTGAGGTCCATACCGTAGTAAACCATGGCACCAATCATATTATCTTTTCTCAGCATAGGAAATGCATCAATAGCCTTGCTCTTAGGCAGGAAATAGGAGCTCTCAATTCCTTCCGACCCAGCCAAGTAGTCATAAAACTTAGTACCAACCCAGAAATAGGGAGCTTGCCACCACTTCTGAACGGGAACCATGATAGGAAGCCAGCTGGAGAGGTGAGGAGCAGTGTTCAAAAAGTACTTGCGCTCCCTTAGCGCTTCCTTGACAAGTTTGTACCTATGTGGGAAGTCAGTTTTCATCCTATAGCATGTCTCACTTTTTAACAATTATTCACGAAGACTGACTGGCTATAATCTAGTTCCCACACGGCCTTTTCCAGGTAGCGGACGCCGCCGTGTACCAGTTTTGTGCTCTTACTGCTTGTCCCAGAGCTGAAGTCGTCTCTTTCGACAACCGCCACCTTTAAACCTCGTGTCGCTGCATCTAAGGCGATGCCTGACCCAGTGGCGCCAGCACCGATAACAAGGAGGTCATACACATCGGAATCATCACCACTGGAACTGCGCCTCAAATCCTGAATCTGTTCCAGACGCGATTTAATTGAGGGAAAGCTCGGCGGCACAAGTTTCCCCTCATGATAACCCGGGGGTGGTACAGCGGGAGCTTCCGAGCCAGGGATGTTGCGAGGACGGTAGGAGATGTACAGAACACCAGCTCCTGCAGCCGCTGCGGCCGAAGTATAAAGCAGAGGCCGTAAGAGTCTGCGGGAATGACGAGCGGCCATTATGTCAAGGGATAAGCTATGTTACAGGAGGTCCGGCGAAATAATTAAGGCCAGGAAGATTCCCAGTAAATCAACCTCAGGAGTGCAGGAGAGGAGCGCCAACAGAAAATGTATACAGAGCACGTATTTGCGCAAACCTTTCTCTGTTTTAACGTGAGTTGATGGTTTGACAAGTTCCAAAACACCGAACGTGGAAGTTTTTTGACAGTGACTCGGGAAATAGCATTTACGTACCTATACTGCTCGGGGGAGGCGGGGCCACGACTCTCGAGAAGAGACAAATGGTCGTGAAACAGAATAGGCAGGCGACGAAAAGATTGAGGGAGTAGGGAGGTTGAAGTTTGAAGTTTGAAGGAAAGGGGACAGGATGGATCGCTTAGAATGGGAGGAGGATGGGGAGAGAGAGCCCAAATAAACCTACCTAGAGTCGGAGTGTGAGACAGTTTGTAATTGGGGAATGCGCGGTCCCGAGTTGACGGACCGGGTAACCTTCCAAGTCTTTCTCGTCTTCGTCATGCGTCATGGGCATTTTCCTTACAAGAAAATCCGGGAATGGTTGGAGCAGGACGGGGGCGGGTCCAGATGACGGCAACACGGCGCAAATCAGATTGTCCCACCAATTAAAAGCTCGGCAGCACCGGGGCCTGGGTGGGACTCACTAGATGATATAGGCGTCGTTCCCGAACTCCGTACCTCCATGTGACCAGCAAAGTTTTGTTGCCATTACCATTCCTGTACTTAGTACGCAACAGCTTCAGGCGGTCCAGACCCTGGGGCTCAGCACATGACCCCTTGTTGCATAGAACTCTGGATAACAGAGATCGACTAGCGGCAGACTGTATATCACGCGATTCCTGTCCCTGGCAGTAAAATGACCATGTTTTCGCGGCTGCCCTTTCGGGGGTGACAAACCCATTATAATGCCTATTTATGTCGACGATTGGCAAGAAGCTTGATCCCCAATGCGGAACTAGTGGCGTGTGTTCTATATATAGGAAAAAGTGTACTCACATATATTTGGTAGGTATATGTTCTATAATATAAGGCCCATAGGATATAAAAGGCCAAAGAGACGAGACAAGAAATAGGTACAATTCCCTGATCCCTTAGACAAAGCTGGGGCTTCATAGTCGGACAGACCATTACGTGGTAATCAGTTTAGTAGTAGAAGTTGATTTTGTTTGGTTTTTATCGATTTCCAAGACCTTGGCTAGGGGGATCGATCCACTTATCCAGCCAGACCCTGACAGTGGAGTATCTCCCAGCTACGCAGTATGTATAATCATCATTACTACCCATATTCACCAGTCACCGATAGTGTCCGCCCGATGTTATCGTCAATTATCTGTAAAGTACGGATGCACCCACAAGAGTGTGATTATGATATCGTCGAGTGTGAAGCCTCGGCAAAAAAAAAAAAAAAAAAAAAAGTCGTGATCACCTCTCCAGTGCATATCTGAGGGCCTGTAAAATACTAATCAGGCTAATTGTGGCAAGGACATCGCCGTCCATATCATTTGCCATGGTCGAGTCAATACATATCTAGCAAACTTTCTAAAGAAAATGATGGATGAAGTTTAGTACTAACCTCCCTCGCATATATCAGTTGCCCAGTTATAAAAGACTTTTCCAGGTGCAGTCAGCATTGGTGCAAATTTTTAGCCATGAAAGATATATCTGTACTAAATTAGGGCATGTGGATTAAATACTTACGTCCCGTTATCTTAGTTTTTAGTTTCTAATGCTTATCACCATAGATCCAGGTCATCCCCTATCCGCTGATCATATTGCATCTACTTGGGCTACAGCTCAATACAGATACTTCTTAGAGGAAATAAGGTCTAAATATCGACGACACAGATTGAGTTAGATATTCACCGGGTGTATGTATGTACTTATATATCTCTTATCCGGGAATTGGCTGTTGGCGGAAATATTCCGGGGGCGGAATTCGCTCGGCTGTAATAACAACAGATGCATCAATTCCGCGATGAATATCGGATCTTTTTGTGCCATACCCGAAATACTTTGTCTATACAGAAAACGTGGGGTAGATTTGAGCTATAGATCCTTCTTTTATATGGCTAACAGAACGGAAAACTTCCCCCTTTGCGGCCTGCGAGGACTTTTATTTAATGGCCTTATGGACTGTGGCATTCTGTGTCACTGACAAACCACGACATTATTAAGATAGTTCAGCATGGCCATAACAGCATCTCTGTCCTTTATACAGCAAAGCCTCATTCTTACCCCTCTACGGTCAATAGCTATAACAGTTCTTCTCATCCCTTTTCTTTATTTCATTGTTAATGAATTCATCCGTGCTTCCTCTCGTATTCCTGGATTCAAAGGGCCCCGTGGTCTACCTTTAATTGGGAACATCGCCCAAATTCGCAAGAATGCTGCTGAACAGTATCGCATATGGTCCAAGACCTATGGGCCCGTTTATCAGATTCAGTTGGGGAATATTCCGGTAATCGTTGTGAACTCTGCCGTCTCTGCAAAGGCAATTTTTGGGCAGAATGCACAGGCCTTAAGCTCAAGGCCTGAGTTCTACACCTTCCATAAAGTAGAGTTGACCCGATATCCATTTCTCACGAAATACACTATTGACAGATTTGGATACAGATCGTGTCCAACACTGCTGGCACAACCATCGGGACTTCTCCCTACAGTGACTCGTTGAAAAGACGTAGGAAGGGTGCCGCCTCAGCCCTTAACCGGCCGTCGGTAGATTCCTATGTCTCGCATCTGGATGCAGAATCCAAGGCATTCGTGGCGGAACTTCTTAAGTATGGAAAGGGTGGGAACGTACCCGTGGATCCCATGGCGATGATCCAACGCCTCAGTCTGAGTTTGGCATTGACTCTCAACTGGGGCGTGCGTGTGGTATCACAGGAAGAGGATTTGTTCAACGAGATCACCTACGTGGAGGAAGAAATAAGCAAATTCAGGAGCACCACGGGCAATCTGCAGGATTACATACCTCTCTTGCGGCTAAACCCCTTCAATACTAACTCGAAGAAAGCCAAGGAGATGAGAGATCGGCGAGATAAGTACCTCAATGGACTCAACCGTGATCTAGACGATCGTATGGAGAAAGGAATCCATAAACCCTGTATCCAAGCCAATGTCATCCTTGATCAGGAAGCAAAGTTGAACTCAGAAGAACTTACCTCAATCAGCTTGACTATGCTCTCAGGAGGGCTTGATACTGTTACTACACTTGTGGCTTGGAGTATCGGTCTCCTTGCCAAGCGCCCAGACATTCAAGACAAAGCCGCGGAAGCGATTCTGAATATGTATGGTCCTAACCAACCAATGTGCGATGCTGCAGATGACCAGAAATGCGCCTATGTTGCTGCGCTGGTACGAGAGTGTCTAAGGTTCGTCATCCCTTGTGCCCAAATTGAGTGGGTTACCTAAGTATTGTATAGGTACTTTACGGTCCTTCGCTTGGCTCTCCCTCGGACATCGATCAGAGATATTACCTACGACGGCAATATAATTCCTAAGGGAACAGTTTTCTTTCTAAATTCGTGGGCTTGTAATATGGGTAGGTGATTTTTTATTATTCCCTTGCCTTGACCTTCTGTTGTCTATTAGGCCACACTTAAGTAACACTATACCTTGCACAGATTCCGAAACCTGGGGCGACCCGGAGGAGTTTAGGCCAGAAAGATGGTTTGAACAGCCCGATGCACCTTTGTTCACTTACGGGCTAGGCTACCGCATGTGTGCAGGCTCACTCCTTGCTAACCGCGAACTGTATTTGATCTTCATGCGCACCATTAACAGCTTCAAGATTGAACCATATGACGAGATCAACTGGCACCCTGTCCATGGCAATTCAGATCCTACAAGCCTAGTAGCAATTCCGAAAAAGTATAAGGTCAGATTTATTCCCAGGGACAATAAATTGCTTGAGGATGTTCTTGGTTCAACGTCTTCATTGAAGCATGCTATATGAGGATGGTTCTTGCTGCACGGATGTTTTATACTGATATATATCCTCCCTCCTTTCATTTCATCTTCCGCATGTTCATCCCTTTTTTGAGCATATTATGAACCACCCTTGATATCTTACTGTGCCTAAAAATATACGCGGTTCTGCTTCTCCCCGTTATCTCACATGAAAATCAGGAACACCACACATGTTCATTGTAACATGGTCAAGGACCTGCGATCAGTCTTGTATTTTTAATTTAACTGCTACTGGATAATCATGCTTTCCATTCCTACAGTATGCCCGGCAACCAAAGATAGGAAGGGTGATTCCATATAGGCAGGCGCAGTGGCTATTCCAAAAGCTACAAGAGCAAGGTAGCTTTATTCAACAATGAAGGGTGATGCAGATTCGGCGAACCATGTCCTTTGGCTAACCTCGCTCCACAGTTCTGCATTTGTGATGATTAAACAGGTAAGAAAATAAAATAGCAAACGTGCAAACACAAAGGCACATAGGAGTGTTAAATTTATATTTTATCTGTTTGCTAGCAAGGTCTCGAAGTAGATTCGGATGTGCAAATTCACAAGCATCGCAGTCATCATGAAGTTTCATGAGGCTAATTATCTCTTTAAGTTACGAACCTGGCCAAAACAGCTTACATAGTCACGCAACTGATTTTGAATTCGACCAGATATTGTAGGGTCATGTGATAAATTGCTTTTAAGTGAGGAAAGAGAGGTTTGAGAAAACAACGACGAGATTATCTGTGATGACGTAGAGGTATTATTAGATGGTAGAATTGAGTACCCGATATGGCCCTGAACAGTACTAACTCGAGGGTACTTGACTGCAATTTCTGTTGCAGTCGTGTGAATCCTTTGTGGGTAGATCGACACAGGAGTACCAATCACCACAACCTCCTCCATGAGATCTAGCTCGGCGAGTCTACAGGATTGAGAACAGTAGAGTCCTCCCAAGGCCTGTCGGTCACAAACTAGACAAAAGTCAAGAGACCATCCTGTGGCCATTCTGGTCTATATGACCTTGGAGAATCGAGATGACGAGGGAGTATAGAACAATCTGATGAGGCGCTCTTGGGGGGCGGCGCGAGGTGACTAAAGATGGAAACTCAGCTACCAATCAAAGACCGATGTTGGAAAGAGGAGTACCAGTGTGATCTTTAGGTTCGAAAGCAATGGTGGGAGTGAGACTTTCGGGAAGGTGTAACTTAGGAAATTCAGTAGGAGGATGAGCAAGAGGACAGTTTAGCACAGAAGATCACTATTAGTATATATTTAGCACAACCCGCTATTGGAATATGACTGTTATAGCCATAACACGCCATATAGCCCACTCTTATTCAAATTATTTGGTGCTTGATATTATCTATTGAGTCGTATCTCTCAGCTCTACGCCCGGTGGAGTAGGAGGGGTGACCTAAACTTATCCTTGGTAGTACAGGTATACCGATGTCCACTACGTGTCTAGTATATAGGAAGCATGCTTAGGTAGCAAGGAAGAGCCAAATAACAATAAATTGTAGATATTTCTCTTTTTCAGGATATATTTTGATGTACATGATCAAAGATCAAGTATGCAGCAGTGGTTTGGTTTATACGAAATTAGGTTGTTCCAGCAGTGGTCAGAAATCCAGTGATATCACTACCTTGTGCAACTGTTCATTGAAAAAAGTCTAATCTGACTGGATATCAATATAAGATTGGATGAGTAGGAATGTTGTATGTGTAAGATCAGTGATTGGAGCGACATACTACTCTGAGGGTGGAGAAACACAGGCCCTCCTCCCCAGCTACCCTCCATACAAATAACAAAACTTAACCTAAGTACGATCACTTGTTCTGGGTTTGATTGGATTGGATTGTGGGGAGTGGTCCACGGGTACACGGTGATCAGGTACTAAATACTAAGTAGTACAGAGTAGATTTATGCTCTACGGAGTACTGGCGGCCCCGAAACAAGAAAATGGACGTAGACTAAGACAGATGTCGTGTATCGTCCAAGTCGCTCATCCATGCGGTAAGGTAGGTTATTTCAACTTGACTTAGGGTAAGTTGAATTCTCAGAAATTCATATTACATTTATATACTCCGATTGTATAAAAGCGGCCCAATAATTATTATTCTTGCCATTAATTACTCGGTAAATTCAGCCACGTAAAAAAGGTGGATTTAATAAATTAGGTACGGAGTATAATTATAGCCTCACATTGTATTGTGGAGAGTTCTATGTGGTGGCTTCAGCAATACTTGTATCAGTCTACTTCTTCTTTCTATGCCCTCAACGCATAATATATCGATAATATTGGTTTATTATTATTACCCTTTCCATAAAGCCCAGTAACAAATATCCTATGAGGCGGGGATGTTCTTGAGAATTATAAGATAAAATGTTGTAGTTGTACTTGTATTGAGTAGCACTTAATATAGGATAGATATTCTGTTGCAGTGCACCTTGTATCAGAGTTATATTGCCAGATTTTAATATATCCTTTGCCGCTTAATCTGTGGTATCTGATTATTTTCTAGGCCTATACAGTCATTTAGTGTATATAAAATAATCTTCAGTTCTTGGTATATTTTTTCAATTTTCACGCGCCATCTTTAAAAATTAGCAATTTTCAAATACTTATAACTTAACTAATTCTTTATTAAATTGAATTTAGATTAAAGTTTTATAATCAGCGATATTCAAAATAGAGAAAGACTTCTATATTAAATAAACTAAAGATAGTTCAAAAATATCGATTGAATGGAGATATATACAGTACAGTATTTTTAAAGTCACTAGATTGTTGAAAGGGTATGCGAATCTTGTGTATCTGCCTCACTCAGGAGAATCTTGGGTAGGGTTTAGATCTGATCATTCCCATTCCCAGTGAGAACATATGAATATCCCTAAAAAAAGAAAGAATACAGAAGGAATAAGAGAGGATTCAACAGAGGAGACTTCCTTGCTGGGCCGGAAAGCAGAATTGAAACTAAACAACCTTCACATACTAGATTAAAGGATCTGTGATTTATACTGATATACTAATACCTATTTGGGATCCTTCAGCATAATTCAGTAGATTCAAAGAATGAATTCTGGAAATGAATTGCATGCCTACTGATATTCTGTTTGATCCCATGTTAGTTTACTATCCATAAAAGAATGGATTCTGTCCATTTTACGGCTTCTTCTCTCCTTCCCTCAATTCCTTCCCAACAATACTATATTAAAGAATTATTGCAACTAGCAACTGAAGACCCAGTACAATCTTCAATAAGTAACCGATCTCTACACTAGAGTTCCCGGGTCGGTTAGTAGTTTTAGCCACTTGTAAAAGGTCACAAAATGAAAATTATATTGACAGAGCTTTGTTAATCTGCTACTTTGACCAGTTCATAAGTTCCCCAGGCTTACTCTCTAGTCTCCCTATTCTAGGATAGACATGTCATTGGGAAATACATATCGAGATTTCTCGTTATAGACATTGGCAATGGTATGTGTGCATGCTGGCTGAGTTATACAAGAATTGCATACCCTGTCCCGGTTTATATTAACAGGTAAACAGGAAACAACTCACTTATCCATAAACCGGGCTCGTTGTCTATTTCAGCCGGAGTGAAATATACAATGATGCACCCGTCATGTCAGTTTTCCAGGACAAGATAACAATCAGTGTATATAGTATGCCCCTGTTGCTTGAGCCACACTATAGTAAGTCCAACAATGTATTAAGTTTATAAAACGAGCGCTCAGTATCAGTTTTATTGGCCTTGTGTCATGGTGTTTATAATTTTGTACAGCGGTACCAGAAGAGGCACAACTTATAATGAACACTGCAGGTTTAACAGAAGCCGTGCATTAATCTCTCGTCGTTACTGCTTCTGCTGGGATTCGGACTAGAGTCGCAGGCATGGGGTAATCAACTGCTTTATCATCCTCAGACAAGGTGTTGGTATTTTGCGTTATTGGTCTTTGAACAGTTACAGCTTCTGCTGTTCAGGGAACCAAGGGGTCAGCAATGTCAACCAGTGATAAAGATTTCAGCGGTGCTAGTACAAGTAAGAATAAGGTGGCGAACTTACTAGAGGCCATGCTAATAGACCGCAGAACATTGACCCAGTTAGCAAGAACGCAGGCAACAGCTAAACCCGGCAAGACAGCAAGCATTAGCATGAAGCGTAGGTAGTCAATCAATTCACTGAATTTTATTTCCTTCAAGGAATCGCAAGAGCAGCCTCTGAGGGTAAACTGGCAGCATGTGCAAGCCGAAGTTAACGAACCTTCTGTGCCATCCTTAAGCGTCCCTATCTTCTCTTCTAACACTTGCATTTGCATCGCTAGCGCACCACTCATTTCGTGAAGTTGCTTTAGATTATCTAGCTCGGCCTTCTTCGACGCGATTCGGGCTGCCAGGGCCGACGATTGCTGCGGCGCAGCATGGTGAGTACTTGGCTGACGAAAAGATGAACCTGTAGAAGACACTGACGGAAGCATTGATGTAGGTCGCGACATGTAGGTCATATCAACAACGGTATCCGAGTTAGTCGAGCAAAGTACCTAAAAGATAGTTTCTTATCTCTGGATTCAAATCAGATGATAACTTCCACAACGGTAGATTGTCAGAGATACGGAGTATGTAATACGTCGGTGGTAGTTACTAGTTAACTAAAGTCCGTCTATGCCTTCCCAAGCAGTCAACCCACTTTACCCGCTAATCCTAGTCGGGGCAAATATCAACAACTTAGTAGCACTCTGTTTACATGCTCTTTCAAGTAACTTACCCACAAGGAAGGAAACTCTCCACCAACCATCCAACGAGCAGGACGGGGGCTTCCCATTTCTTCATAGTCTAATCTCGTTTCAAAGCTTCATCACGTCCCCGGCAACTGGCTTGGTTAGCGAAAGGAAGGCAAGGCAGACAGTGCAGTCTGCATCGGCTTATGAAGCATGGCTCGCTTAAACGAATCAACAACCTCGACGGAATCCATTGAAATATGTGAGTTATATGCATTGCCTCTCTTAGATTACTAGTGTCTGGTAAACGGTCTGGTGTTAACCTCTCCAATACCTCAGTGAAACGGCGATTCGTGCGCCAGAATCGCGAAATCGCCCGAGTGAATTCGATACAGTCCCTTCGAATCCGCAGCCTTGAGTCAGAAGTTTCGCATCTCCTTTCAGAGAATGTTTCCCTCAGAGAGCGAGTCATAAATCTTAGCCAAGAAATAGAGAGATTCGAGGCGGCCAAGTTGTTCCAGGATGGAGTCTACGACATCAAGGCGAGACTTGACAATAAATTGATGGAGCTAGGAGGCTTAGTAGCTGATTTGGGCGCATTGCCGCGCAAATTTAACAAGCCAGCCAGCGGGATAACAGAAGTTGCACATCAGGAGCGATCAGGCTCGGATCCCAGACATAACATAGCTGGCCTTGAAGCTTATCCCGCACTCGAGCAAGACGGTAGGCTTCCGGTTATACTGGAAGACAAATATTATCCACGAAAGACACTAGAGTAAGTGAGACATGGCGTTTTTCGCGGACCGTCAAGGGCTTTTACTGAATGCCAGCAGGCCGCAGGAAATGCAAGAACTGATGAACAACAACATGAATGCCCCGCAATCTTCGGGCCAAGAGAACCCTTCGATATCCCAAATGGACAGTATGGACGATGATCCATACTCGACATTGTCTGAAGCCGTTGCGGATACCCAAGAGTTTGACAGCTCCCTAGGCCCCAGTGAAGCTATTCTTCCCCCAACTCTTGAAACAAGGAAAAAGAGGAAGGCTGGGTCCGGCAAAATACGCGAAGATATTCTCGATATGAACCCTGGAGAGTTTCCTGCACGAAGAGAGTCAAGTTTCGTGCTAAATCCAGGTTCCAAACGTAAATTCTCTGGTAGTGACGATGGCGATTTTGCATTTGCAGCCTCAGATGATGACGATTTCCAATTCACTCGACCTACCCAGTTGCCACAGTTGATGCGCGACCAATTACTACCGAAATGCAACGATCAGTCGCCAGTTGAGAGGCAAAGCTCTCAGAGGGTAGGCTCCAAAGGTGATAGCCGACCTAAGCGAAAAGTGCTCGAGCCGAGTATGTTGCGATTAATCCCCTTCTATGAACAGTGCAGCTAATGTAAATATAGAGAGCACAAACTTATCTTCAATCGAGCCCCTAGCTACTGAAGCCCATGGACAAGATTGTAAGACCCCCGCAAGAAGGAACAATGCGACAGACGAGAATAAGCCGATAGATCCAGCCCGCTTGAAGGGGGATATACACGGTCAACAATTAGCCCCAAACGAGAGATCTCATTGCAATGACTCTGATAAGACTAGGCAAGAAGAGATTCAAATTCACACTCACGTGGCTGAAGACACATCGCGCCCATCTTCGCCACCCGTTGCAGTCTCTCAAGTACAACATGAGCTTGAGACATCCATATCCTTACTTAATGCTTCGTCTAGACCCACGAGGCGCCAAAGATCTGTCGTAAGCTACGCAGAACCTAATCTAAGGGATAAGATGAGACGTCCAACGGATGAATTCATAGCAGCAGTGGGAGGCGACCATCATCTAAGGAGGACATCCGGTTCCAGTTCTGTTCGAACGAATTCAAACGGTGAATTTGACGGGTGTAAAAGTGGCAAAATAGTTGCAAGAAAAAAGCGAGACTCAGATATGGGAGGCAGAGACCCTACCACACTTCCGACGACTTCTTCCGATAACCCCCCTTGGCAACCAGCGAATATGATGTCTCGGAAACAAAGGAAGGCCTCACTTGCAAGTAAAGAAGATGCACCGCCTGGAAATGATCCTACGAATGAGATAAACGAGCCCCATTCCTGTCGGATATTCGAGGGCTGCGAGCTAGTTGAGGTCTCAAGTGATCAACCTATGGCCGAGGTACAAACGGGAAGCACAGGGAAGCATGGATCACCGACTGCAGTGGACCCTAGTGACATGCCGATGGAGTTATCGAAGAGTATATCTAGAGCAGCAGCAGCAGTCCCCAGCAGGCTGTCCCGACGGCACTCCTCAAATCCCAGATCCTCTGGGCGGTGTCATTATTCCCCCAAACACGAGATGAGTGTTTCAGGTACCGAGCAAGAAAGTATGACAGGCTCTAGAGCATGTTTGGGAGGGTCTAATGATACATCAATTGGGAATATCAGCGAACCGAGGGCATTCATGCATGCCTCAGAACCTCCCCCATCAGCCATGGGGCTAGCAATAGATGCTAGGCAAATGAGGCGCGTGCCACGCGCCGCTGCTAGGAGAAAAAGTATGATGTTGTGATCAGTTAATCATGTCTGGAGACAATCTGCACCTACATGACCCCTGGATCGAAGTTTGTTAGACTGAGATAGATACCCCTTTCCGTGTTTAGGCTACTTCTGTATAAATCCACATTATTCTTAGGGACTCAATGATCACTTAAATCCTTCACTATTGATTGAAGCAGAGCGCTACGAACGGCAACACTTGTTTCAGCCCCATCACTTTTTCGTAGATGACCAGTTGAGCTGACAAACCTTTGCGGACTGCAAAGGCTAACTCTGCACAACATATACTGACAAGATGCGAGAGCTGGTCCAGTTGAATTTTGCTGAGTATTGTAAATTAGACGAGAGTTGGATCATTTAGCGCCCTTTTGTCGTCCTAGGCATCTTCTCGTAGGCATTGGGACTTGGTCTCCTCCGCTTAGGCTTTCTGTGACCGTGATTTGGGCAACATGGTAGCTGCCCTCTTTCCCTGTCATGTTCGGATTCATGGTCATGAGACTGATTGTCGGTATTACGATGCACCAACGAACGGTCCAGGATGTTCCTGGGATTGCCTATCTCATTATCGCTATCGGGGTCAGATGAATTAGAATCAGAGGACTCAGACTCTGAACTACTTTCACCGACTGGTCGAGCTTTATGGTAGATGCAGCATACTACGCATCCATTACGATTCACCATATCCGTTAGCCTTGGATGACAAGGAAAGCACGATGCAGAAGGTCACGCCGTTTGTAGCGTAGCGGTACTCACCTTTGGAACTCTTTTTCCCCATTCCTTCATTATCTATGACATCCTCACTCCACCGTATATGCCGGTGCAAACCTCTGTTCTCAGTGTTAGACTCGACCGTTGGTTCATTTTCTGCCCTTAATCTGAGTGTTCCTGGAACTCGAACTGTTGATGTATTGTTAGGCTGTTGAGGTACCGATTCGACCCGGGATGTCCCACTTGATGCTATTTGTCGGGATCTAGACATCATGGGAAAGACTCATATGGTTGAAAAGAATATCTATGCGTAGGACAATTGCTTCAAGAAGAATTTCGATCGAGAAGGGTCCAAGCCACTGCAGACTGATATGGCTCTGATGCTAGGGCATTTGAATTCTGTAATGCTAAACTAAACTTAGTCAGGTCCCCAACCTTTGAGAGAAATTCTTGATTGGCGGCTCACCGCCTATATTTTTGCTCATTTGTAAGATTGCCATGGGTTAAATACTTCTGCGGTTACAAGCAACAGAAAATAAATAAAGGAACCTTAGGGTTGGTACATCGCATCTAACCTTGAGGTTTGTGATGTGCAACTGAAGCTACATAAAGACTCGCTGAAGGAAAACATGCAGCGAAAGATTTTACAAACTTGAAAGGGCCTATTAGTCGCAATGGCATAGACAACCACTGACCATGAAAGCGGCTTTAATAAGTGAGCTGCAGCTAATCGGATAGAGATCCAAGATTGATTGCATATAACAGCCAGATACTAGAACAGGAGTGAGGAAATATGGGGCAGTTTATCACCTATGGCCGAGAGATGAAGAAAAGAAAATGTGGGGAGGAAGATAATATAAAACACATCAGATCTAGCAAGAAGGCCGGATCTTGACCTTGTTCAAAGCCCATAACAGGCCCAGCCGTCTAGCCGGTCTTCCCCTGACATAGCCATCGGCTTTTTCGGGTGTTCTGTGGCGCCGGTGGATAGGAACGGGGCAACCTCACAACGTAGTTCCCTGTCTAGTCATAGTTCATCCTCTTGGTCCATTTCTGATGGTTTCAGAAGGCCCCCAACTTTCATGGCACGATCCCGTTCTGCAGCTTTGGCATCTCGTAGTGCCTGCTCTCTCTCTTCTGCGTAGAGCTCTGCATTGTCCCCAGCAAATTCCTTCAGTGAGATCAAAAAGTCCCGCAAATGAGTCTTGAATTTATTGAAATCATCATTAAATGCAAACAACCCGATGACAAATTGCTTGATCTGAATTCTGTAACAAAGTCAGCACATCTAAGTTTATCCGGTACAGTCAGTGAGATAGGACATACTCCTGTAGATTCTTGAATGCGTTTTGCAAAAGATTTGCAACATATTCCTGGAGGAAGTCCTTATTCGAAGTCCCCAGTGGTGCTTGTTCCGGGGAGTAAATGGGATCTTGCACCTTTCCAGCTTCAACGAAGTAGAACATACGCGACAGGAGCATCGCCTGAGACTTGAATCCTGTAAGATAGTTAGTAACTCCTCACATCTAAGTTCAGAGCGTATATACATACCGGCTTTATGGTCGCTATCGGTGAGCACGAAGAAAACATCTTGCAGGATTGGAATGTAGAATTGCCGGAAGAAGATATTCGAAGTCTGAGTATCTGTCTCGGCCATATTATTCATGAGCTCAAGGCACATCGTAAGACCCGTGTTCTCGACCTCGCGATTGTCGTGTTTGCTGGCCCACATGCAAGAGTCGATTACGAACTTGAATTGCGTAGCATCAAGTTTGAGCAGGGCTGGGAAACAGTATAGGTTGATTGCTTGGAGCAGCTTGAAAAATTGGACCCGGTGCTCCGGATATTCGTGAAAGTCTTTGTTAATCATTTCTAGAGTGCATTCGAACACACTCTCCATGATAAGGGGAACCTTGTCTTCCATCAAATTCTGGAAACAGGTCAGTTTGTTGCTGTTGCACCCAACAAGTTACCCACAAGGGTCTAGAAAGCACGCCAGAGCCAAACATACATGAAGCTTGTGGATGATAGTTGTCATGACATTCAGAACCTCTGCTTCGCGCGCATCAGGAACGTTACGATTGTAATCCACCAACACAGCCTCGAGCAGAGGCGGGACCATGTTTGCATTGACCATTTCTAAATCGTCCGCCTTCTGGACGTAAGTATCAATGAGTTTGAGGATTTCCTTTTTAATAGTCCTAAGTCCTCGGACCTTGGGTGTTTTTGTCGCAATTTCTCCTATAAGACAAACAATTAGCGATTATCTCCAATAAAAGGAGAGCAGTGCTGTGATCATTACCATCCTGCACAACAGCATCGCTAATAAGCTGGCTAGAAGCTCGAAACATGTTTAGCATGTCATGGTAAATGCGTCCTAGTTGAGAGTAAAAGTAGGTGCCAATTGACGAACAGGCAGCGACGTTCGTTTTCATGATATTGCCAATGATCTTAATCGTTTCTCCATCTTGGAGGATCGAGGGATCCTGATTTGCCTGGCCTATAATAGCATCCCAGGCAGAATTAGGCAATGACATTAAATTCTCAATCAGCCGGTCTTGGAGGCCCTTTTGACCCTGTGCAGAGATCATATAACCACATGCTTCGTAGAATGTATGGACCTGCTGCGGCGAAAGGTCACAAGTAATTTTCCTCATGCTCCGAACGATTTCCTCAATGAATGGCTCGTTTTCCCCAGGCTGAAGGGCAACAAAATGGCGTCTGCATTTATTGGCGATCTTTATGAAGGTGTCGCAAGCCATGTCCTGAACACCTATTGGAAGTTAGAATCAAGGCTTCTGGTAAAGTGATTGAATAGCCAACCTTCATGTGTCTCATGCATAAACTCAAAGAGCTTGTTGACAACTGTCTTCAAAAACTTCCAGTGAGCCTTCAAAAAGCGAGGGTACTGCCCCACAATGTACATGATGTTACTGGCCACAACAGCCTTGTTATCTTTTCCACGCTTCATTTCTGTGAGACCTAATAGGTCCTTAATGACAGTAACAAGAAAGCGCTTCTCGGTTTCTTCGTTCATGGCTCCGGAGATTGACCCAATAGCCCAGCAAAGGGTATTACAGTTGGCCCATGACCATTCAGACCCATCGACTTGTTTAGCCAATTTCTCGATCATTATATTCTCCGTATCAACAACGTCGAGATGTGTAAGGTAGACCAAGCACTCCCGGATTGTCTTGTAGAGTTGGATCGTATCACTCTCTTTGACGAACTCGCGGACGATTTCACCTTCATCGTTCTCGACGATCAGGACCTCTTCTGGGCGTACCATTTTCTCTATCATGACTGTACGCAGGCTTGATAAAACTTCTTCATATTTGTGCTTGCGGAGGGGGTAATTGGCCAAGGTGCTGGGATGAGGCGCTCCACCGTTAGATAAGCCACTGACGCCCATGCTCACCAAAGGATTGATATCGGTAATTGGGAGCTGCTGCATCTCTTCATAAAGCTCCTGCACGAGACGCGTCCAGTATTCTAGGCAAATCTTGAAAACTTCTCTGTCGTCAATTTGACTAATGCGAATAAGATAAAAGTGCGCATGAGTGAGATAGTCACGATTTGGTAATTTTTCAATAACCTGGGTAAAGGGGAGGAGAGCAATAAATATCAGTGACTCTATCAGCGTTTGGGAGCGGGAAACTTCCGAAACTTACATTGAGATGGGCGCTGAAGAAACTGGAAAGGAAGAGCGCAAGGTTGAGTACAAACTCTTGATCTCGCGAGTTGCTCTTGGCATATGTCTGTTTCAAATCCATTGATAGTGGGATTATCTTGGAAACTATCGTCAATGTCTCTGTAAACATATGTACCAGCCTCTCATCGTAATTATAAGGGTTACCGATCTGTAACCCGCCAATTTCAGTCAGGCATTTGAGAGTCACATTGCGAAATTCGGGAACGTCCAAAAACCGTGTCAGAAGGGTACTTATGATAGGTGTTTCAAAGATATATCCCAGTGGAATCCAGTTCAAAAAGCGTAGGAGGGTCTCCAGTGTAGCTTTAACCAAGCTAGGTTGGTTTGCGGTATTGAGCACTTCGGAGCACAACTGGAAGATTGATGAGAATTCCTGTGTCATAGAAGTCTTCAGATTCCTTGCTTTTACGGAGGTCATCTGGTCTTGAGAGAAGTCGAACACTTCCTCCGATAGCAAGCGAAGGATTGCCATGTTGTTCTCACAAATGGAAAGGCTTGTGTGGCAGGAGGAGATAATTTCGTTGATAAAAGTCGGCCAATTGTGAGGCCATTCCTGCTTCAAAATGGAAACAAGAACCAGATTTAGTTTGTTCAAGAACGCTCGCTCGCTCCTTAACTTTTCTTCCGAGCCAGAGTTTTCAATGATAAAGTTAACGATAAAATTTCGGATACCTGCAACCGTCAGACAAACTCAGACAGACCCGGATATGAAGTCCTAGAAATGGATTACCTAGGCATTGTTCTCTCGGTAAAACCTTCCATCGAGTCATGATTACATCGTCAAGAACTTGGAGAGCAAGATCTAGCATCATCAGCCCAATCCCAATTAACATACTCAAGGGTCGATATCGCACATTTGGTCTGTGGATACGATGACTCCTGGAGAATATTCCCTACAATTAACCAGGCATCCGGATTTTGCTTGAACTAGCAATACAAGATAGGTCAGATAATCCCTTTCATGCGGTGTATATCAGCGACTCACTTCTGTCAGTGTCTGCTGGGCTTGCTTTTGCTATAATTTGCAATTATATCATTAGTGCTCTGTATCGTTGCACAAGGATCATAAGATAGATAGAGGGAAATATAGAGGGCTACTGGAAGGGGAACGCAGGATTTGTTTGGGATAACATACCAGATCTCCTTTGCCTTCATAGAAGGCTTGGACAGTGTTGTCCAACTCCTGTATGGATACCGACATTCCGTTCCCAAAGCTGGCGATACAGCCCTTTGCACAGCTTGTCAACGCGTCCCGGACACAGGCGCAGGTAAAGGGGAGCTCAAGTTAACCCAGTATAGAATTTGCACGTATTATGGCAAGTACAGGGTAAAGCGAATGGGTGGAATGTTTGGTGGGGTCAAGGCTCTCTCTTAGAGGGGTTGGCCGGAAGTAAGCTCCTCAGAACAAATTACTACTGTTTTGACGAGAGGCAAGATGCCCTGAGGTAAAGTGGGGCTGTATGGCCCAGCTTGATGCAGGCGCGGGTTTAGGATATGGATAAACCCAAGACAAGGTAAACAAAAAAAAAATCCGTGTAGACTCAACGCACTGGCGGTGTGAACAGCGTTGCTCAAGTTATTGGAACTCTATCGGGCACAATGTAACTAAACTCGTTAGTAAATAATTAACTACGTCCATAAAGGATTAGTCAGCTGCGCTTTGTATGGAGAGAGCGTTTGACCCGAGGAACTTCCAAGTTATCTAAGTCTACATCCTAGGATTCGAATCTACCTTGGTCACGGTGTTCTAACCCGTACACCATTTTGGTATGTAGAACCAAGGAACGCTAGGCTAAAATTGAGAATAGATACCTCTTACCATGTGCTCCTCGGAGCACCTTCATGTCAGTCTCGTACAGATAGTTTTGCTGTCTATAGCTAAGAGCGTTTAACAAATGATTACCGTTGGCTTTCGGGGCCTTGAATTTGTATAGAAAGGTGAATCCAGTCAGGCAGGATAAATGAGATACAATTTGCCATCGGATTATTCCTAAAAGTATTGACTACAGAAGAATACGAAGCTGAATCTCAAAGTAGCTTCCGGCTTTGACAAAAGAATGAGAAGGCGATAGATATTATTACGGGGGCAATGATAAGTAGATCCCAAAACATATTGCAATCATGTATATAAGTAAATTTTTTGTTGGGGAAGAGGGGGAAGTGAATGTGACAACTTCTGATCAGATACTCTGTTGGTATCAATGACCCAGGTCGGGTTGGGTGCTGTGGTACCTACTAAGTTAGGTTTGTAACCGCGCCTGCGGTGCTGTCTGGCGCCAATGGCGAATATCTTGAGGAAGAAGACCTCGTAAGCGACCAAAATCAAGCGGGAAATTCCTCCCCCACAGAAAGAGGTACGTATTCAAGTCACATTGGAAGTCGGTCGGACCCACTAAACTCTACACATTCCCCTGTTGCCGCCTTGCCGCGCTTCCCTCGCCGATAGAGCAGGTGGCAGCAACCCATTACAATCCAAGTCTGTCCTGGGGCCTGTCGTGGCGTGTCGCCTGAGCGCCATCACTCGCAAGCATGAGACCCGACTAAAGGCCGTCATAGCCAATCATTTCCCTTATGTAGCCATCGCGGGATGGTCGATCGCGCGGTAACTGCAATCCAGTAACCTCTCAACAGCCAGCTGGCAGCCGCATTCCTACCATGAAGCAAGTAAGAACAGGAGCTAATACTGCCCAGTGTACTTTGGAATCCCCTGGTCAGCCTGCTCATCACCTCAGCACCCCCCTACCCGTGCTAGCTTTTGGTTCACATCTGAGGTAATTAATACCTTTCTCATTTACTATTGGATTGCCCTCCAGTAGTTTAGTTTCTTGTTTTCCATTTCTTAGACACCCTCCTCTGGTTTTCTTTTCTTTTCTTTTTTTTAATATGTATATAATTGAATAAAATAAAATAAAAATAAAGAAGGGAAGAGAAAAGATACTCGCTGTATTCAGCCATTGTTATCGCTTACCTTTTCTTCTACCTTAGTAGTAGGTTCCCTCCACTACTAATACGGGTCATTAATGACCCCCTCTCTTGCTTTTGCCTCTTCCCCTCTCTTAGTAAATACCAGAGTACTCTCAGCTACCTACGTCCGTGAATACTTACTCTCCTCTCTCCTGTTTCTCCTGTTTATACATATATATATATATATATATATTTCATTAGTGGAAGGGGTGGATGCATTATTCTACCCAGGCTTGTGCTTTTGCATTCTTACACCAACAATCAATCACCACAGCCGCCACATTTCTCTCCTCTACCGTCTTGTACTGTCATTACTACCGCCCCTTCCTCTCGTCCTATGGACTGTATATGCTCATCGTTGTAGATTTTTGTATCCCATAAATTCTCATCATTGAATGCTTCTTTCCCCGTCAACTCAACCTATCCACTCCAGAAGCAAGCGTTATCATTCGTACCGATATCTCTCCTTGCGCTTTTTTTTTTTTACGCTGAGGTTGATCCCCTACCTGGTGCCTTCCATATCCCCGATTCGGCTTGCTGATTGCTATCTCCTACTTGAACGATACCTACGGAACAGCCCTACTGAGCTTATCTTGAACCTCACCTGGTGCATGGCCTCAGGATAGCCGTACAGGACAATCAATACATTATTGAGTCAAAAAAAAAAAAAAAAAAAAAAAACCTTGCGGTTAAATTTGGTCCTTTATATCTTTTTTCCTCCATTGCATCCGAAGAGTGAACCTGCGCGCAGGGTTGCCTCTCCATCCTCGATTGATGCAACTTCTTCCAGTTCTAGTTCTAGTTGACGGCGCGCAAGGTGGAATAGTACTCCTTTGGCGACGATTTAGTTGACCGCATTCATCTTGTGTGACACTAGTTGAAAATACCGCTGCGCTCACAAGGGACTGCAAGAGAATAATAAAGATAACCCTCCACTGCGCGCTGGAAACTAGGTGGTGGAACTTGAAGGCTTTATACCAAGGGGCCGTACCTATCAGTTGTAGCTGGACTACTACTATTACTACTACTACTGCTACAGTCGCTTGCAATGACTGCCGTCACATCCGCCTCAATGATCAACGACCACGAATCAGAAGGTTCTAGAACAGACCACAGTCCCTCTCGATTTACAGCCGTGAATGGGAAGGACTCCGTGATATCTGCGACATCGACATCTGTCCCCGCTGTCCCTGGTGCGGCAACGGAAGACTCACGAGAATCCTCTGAGCATTGTGGAAAGAGCGGTCACGATGATACAATACATCGGCACGAGGAACGAATGCGGGAGGGCGGAAGCATCAAGAACGACCAAGACGATCGACGGTCACAACGATCGTCCTCACATGGTGCAGTGTCGGTTACAAGCAAAAGCAAACGAAAGAGGTCAGGATCTGGTGAGCATGTAGACGAAGCTCATTCCACTCCCAGAGCTCCGAAAAGCCCAGCCTCTTACCTGGACGACACCACAAATCCAAATGCGCGCCCATGTACATCTAACGGAAGCACGACGTCCCAGGCTGACCAGGACTTTAAGAACACGTCCCCCTTAGTGCATGCAAGGCCAGAGGGGAGCGATGACTCACGAACCTCAGCAAATACTACTTGGCATGAGTATGATGCCCAGTTGGTCAGCCAAGCACAACGTGCACAACAGATCGATGCATCAGATGCTCAATTAGCAGAGGCACTCCAACGTGAGGCTCAGGGGCATGATGTAACTCAGAAGAACTGGACTACGGTTAGTCGTTCACTGGAGGGTACCACACAGAATGAGCAGTCTTCATCAGCGTTGGCTGGGTTTGCTCAGGAGCGGCCGCAACCTGCTGTACAAGTTGCGCCAAAGAGAAAACGCGTTTTCAGCAACAGGACCAAAACTGGGTGTATGACATGCCGAAGAAGAAAGAAAAAATGTGACGAACAACACCCTGCATGTAAGTTCCTTGTTGAGCAGCTCTGTTAAACTGGGCAACAATTTTGTTCATTGCGGTCGCGCAGCAATCTAACTCCAGTGCAGGTAATAATTGCATCAGAGGTGGTTTTCTCTGCGAGGGCTACTCCTCACGGAGTACATGGCAGAAGCCGTCAAGTGGCAAAACACCAGTTCCTTTACAATCAAAGGATGGCTATACGGACGTTGGCAGTCAATACGTACATGAAATTAGCCAACAACATGATCGACAACAAAGTTTGACTGAACAACTCGAGGCAGGGAAGATGCGGTCAATTATTGTAGACGATAGCGACCGTACCACCACACAGTTCAACAACTCAAGCCCAACAGGCGTTGGTTCCAGCCGTGGGTCATGGTCCAAACGGTCCTGGCCGAATACAGGCCACACTGCTTATATCACTGACCATATTACAAAGTCTGATTACCGAGATGTACCATCTATCCATGAGCTACCCCGCGAGGGTCACCCGAAGACAGATTATCAAATTGTGCCACCAATTCGGGAGCTGTCACATGGTACCGCCCATGGGAAACCAGGGGTCTCGCTTTTCCAAGGTGGAATTGACCAGCGGCCAGCTCTTGCTACCAATGTGGACACTAGCAGTCCACAGGCCCAAGCGCGAATGGCCCTGAGCATTGAACATCAGTTGTCTGCGCGCACGGTTCCCGGTGAAGAGACAGAAAAGGATAAAATGATACGCGGTGAACTTTATCGGCCCTTCGATATTCATCTTGTGGAAGAGAGAGAGCGCTGTAAAGCCGCGTTGTGGCGGTTCAACAATGCCTGCAATCCCGTTTCTGGTCTAAGCAATAAAGAACAAAACCGCCTTCTGAAAGAAATATTAGTACCACCTGCTGCAGCAGTGGGCTCACCCTCAGGTGTCACCTCCCCTCGGCCGACGGGTTCCATCGGGCAAGGTGCGGTTGTTGAAGCGCCCTTCCAGTGCCACTACGGATATAACGTTCATATTGGCGAGGACGTGATGATATCTGAGAGCTGTTTATTTGTGGATGATTGTCCTATCACTATCGGTGCCCACACGTGGATTGGCCCCAGGGTAACTATTCTCAGTTCAATGGCCCATGCAAATATGCAGGAACGTAAAGGGTCTCAAAGCCGTTATCAAGGACGGCCCGTTACAATTGAAGAGGATTGCTACGTCGGCGCTGGCTGTACAATTTATCCTGGTGTTCGCCTTCGACGTGGAGCTTATGTGGCACCGGGTGAAGTTGTCAAATCTGACATCGTAGCTTATGGGTTTCAGGGTCTTAAACCTAGCTACATGTGAGAAATCCTTTATCGCACCGCATTCATATGGAGTCGCTTGTATTTCGTGGTTTATGCTATTGTCAGGGGTTATGGTTTTCGCAGCTGCATGTGTTGATCATACACTCACCACTTATCATCGGCGTTTTGTAAAGTATTCTTTTACATCCATTTGCTTGACCCATCTTTTCATTTTCAGGGCTTTTCATTAACGTTTATCTTCTTCTCAGACCAGAATTCTGACCGGTTCAGGACATATGGTTCATGCTACGAGATTTCATGTCACAATTCCGGCCATCTTAGTATATAATTGATGATTCATCCTGCTCATCCATCTACTCTTTTTACCCGCATGTTTTGGAAGAATTGGTATACTTGTATTTATATAAAGTGGCCACTTGACACCTTCAGCTGGTGCATCTTTTGTGAGAACAATTAAGCCATATATATGGCATGACATTAAGTTAAACAGTTAACTTAGAAACTCCTAACAAGATATTGGGCACTTCTGCTCCAATAGTTACGATTCAAACGCGATCGTCACTGCTATCCATCTAGTGGGTGCTTTCAACACACTTCATCCGGCTAAGTCATGTCTAAAGCCAATCTAAAAAGTCAGGCACGAAATAGCTTACTATAATTCCGGCACCAGCCCTTATAATCCCTTCAGTGCTTTCAAAGGCCATTGATTTCAAGTCAAATACGCCCGCCTTAGCGCCAGCGTGTATCATAGCATACTCACCGCTGACTTGGTAAGCGGCAATCGGAATGTCTTTGGAGAGTTCTTTTGCGTCTCTGATAATGTCCAGGTAGCTGCTCGCCGGCTTTACCATTATGATGTCTGCCCCTTCGCCTATATCTCTCTGTATAGCACGACGAGCAAGTCCACGACCACCGGGCGGTAACTGGTAGCATCTGCGATCCCCAAATGATGGACAGGATCCCGCTGCATCACGAAAAGGGCCGTACAGACACCCACTAAATTTGGCGCTGTACGACATCAAAAGGACGCGGTGGGCCATGCCGGCTTCAATAAGCTTCAGTTTGATAGCACGCACTCGCCCATCATTCATATCAGACGGAGCGACACAATGAGCCCCGGCAGCAGCATAGGCCAGAGCAACATCCGAGATTCGATCCACAGACTGTGTGTTGTCAAGAGTCCCATCTTCTCGCAGAATCCCGCAGTGGCCATGTGAAGTATACTCGCAAAGGCACACATCTGTGACGATGTAAAGTTGAGGAAACCGCGACCTAAGCAGGCGAATAGCTTGGATTACCGGTCCAGATGGGTCGTCTGCAGCAGTACCTAGTGCATCCTTCGCAGAGGGGTGTAGTGGGACGCCAAACAGGATAACCGAGCGTAGCCCCTTATGAACAAGTGGCTTGATGAAAGGAGCTAGACGGTTTAATCCTCGACGATACTGGCCAGGAAGAGACGGAATGGGAGTCTCCTCATCGGGATTATCGGTGATGAAGAGAGGATAGATAAGCATTTCCTATCTTGCGGTTAGACCAGCTCAGGAAATATGGAAGAAAATGCGGACCTTGGTCAACTGTCTTTCTGCCTGCCATGACCTGCTCAGTGGATGGCTGTAACCGGAATGAAGCTGGCTGGAGATGTCACCAGATATGCTGACACTTGTGGCAGCTGTGCTTGTATACGATCGTGCGGTGGCTTGCGATCGTACATGGGATATCTGAGAACTTCGGTCATCGTGTGTGTCTCTGAAGGCGAGATCAGAGACAAGGTTAGAAAAGGACATGATGTCAGAAGCGGCAAGTAATGTGGGTGCTAGGGAGGATAGAAACGCAGTGGGAGGAAGAAAAGGGAAAGCGTCTGTGATTGCTTGCCCTGCCACTGGCAGAATACAACTTCACAAGACAATTATATAGATGGTCAGCGAGCCAGGTCAGTGAATTTTGTTGCAACCTTCGGGTCCAAGCAAGGAATAAAGGATCATAGGCCAACGTTAACGGCGTGATATATAGCGACGGTATATAGTACTGGGCGTTATTCGAAGGTCGGGGGGTATGTATGAACGGAGACTTGGCTCTAGATTGATGGCTGAGAAATGTTCAGGCTTTCGAGATAGCCGAGGATATCATAATCTGCCTGGGGCGAGAACCGTAAGGCGAATACAGAGGGTTACCATTGGTCCGGGGTTGGCCGTTCTTGCCGATCCTACTTAGTGGAGTCGGGTGGCTGCTGATATTGGACAGTGAGAAGTATTTCACACCCGTTTAGAGCCTAGTGGCCGATTTAGGGACTGCCTATTGAAATAGGTCTATTCTGCCATCCAGAAACCTCCTGAGTTCAGCTATCTAGTATTTAGTATACCAGCCCCGGGCCTCATTTACACCTTCACAGGCTAAGGCATAGTTTGGGACAGGTGTACAAAGACCCGCTTGTTATAGAACCCTTGTTTTGTGTATCCTGTCCGAAAGGTAAATATAAGAGATAGAAAGACAAATTGATAGAGATTAATAACTATTAACTATAGTGTACTTAGGTGTTTTTATTTAGTTTAATATTCTGTCAGTATAGTTTTATCGCTTTTGTAATTATCTTAAGATCTTAGTTAATTTTATTTTTTATCTTTTAATTTTGTTAAATTTAATATTAATTATATTTTAATAGTATGTTTAATATTTAAATTATATGAATATTTTTAAAAAATATACTAGTTAGTTTTATTATTTTATATTGTTTTTTATTAGTTTTAATTCTTAGATAATTTATATTAATTTTACTAATATTTTTTTATTTTTTGTATTTTTACTGTTTATAACCGTTTTTTATCTTTTTAATTTATTAATTATTTTATTATATT